CTGTCCAGTGGCTATGAGGGCGTCAGGGAGATTGAGAAACGCCTCACCAACACCATGGGCTGGTCCGCCACCTCTGGCACTGTAAGCCCCTCCACCCATCCCCTCTCTTGCGCACATGCACCTTCTTGATCTCTTGCCATCCAGTGCTGTCCTAGCTTGCTGTGCCTGCTCAAATGTTTTTGCTGAGAAAATCTTGCATTGCTTTGGTTTTTGTTACCTCAGGTGGACAACTGGGTGTATGAGGAGGCCAACTCAACGTTCATTGAGGACGAGGAGATGCAGAAGAGGCTGCTCGAGACCAACCCCAACTCCTTCCGCAAGCTCGTGGCTACCTTCCTGGAGGCCAATGGTCGCGGCTACTGGGAAACTACCGAGGACAACATTGACAGGCTCAGGCAGCTGTACCAAGATGTGGAGGACAGGATTGAGGGCATTGATACATAAATGCTGGGCGTGGGTGGAGGATGAACATTTTTATTTAGGGAAGTCTGTTGGTGCAATGAACCTGTGACAGTTTATCTTTTTCCCAGACTAGCAATTGCTCATTTTTCTGAGCCCAATCGTGGCAGTTAACAAATGCTGAGAATGACACTTGCATGTTTTCCTCACTGCCATTTGGTCTACAAACAACTGAGTACAGTAACCTATCTGAGACTTTAGATACTCCAACAAAAATGGGAATATTGATATACAAAGGCAAAATCCTGACGTGAGCCACTAATTTTGACTGGCTCGTGTCTTCATGTTCGTGCAGACAGTCTGAAAAGTATTTCTGCATACAGTACATCCAGATACGATCCTATACAGAAAGGGAAAAAGGGAAAGAGAGACATAGATGAAGGAGAAAGGAAATGGAGAAGGAAAGGGAGAAGGAAAATAAAGCTGCCAAAAAAAACATAAAAGCAACACACATAAAAAACCCCATCAAGACACCCAATCAAAATACCCAGTCAAGACACCCAATCAAGACTCCCCGTAAAATATGGTACTCGATATTCATTTCTCATCGACCTCACCCTATTTGAGACAGCAAGTACGTGGGTCCAAAATGTTCATTAAGATCAATACTTCCCAAAGTAGGGAAAGCTGAAGAGCTGGGGGAGTACAAAGCAACATACATACCGTATTTAAAAAACAACGAACACGAGAAGGCGTTGCCGAAGCCCAGCGATACCATTTTTCGGTAACGCAGGAGCGAATGCAGTGTCGGTCAATCAAGGTCCGTCCCTGCAGCTCGTCCCTTCAACCTCACGTCCCGTCTCGCTCACGGAACTCGACGTCCGTAACCGCACTCGCCATCGCTTCGCAATTTCCTTCGTGAATCCCATCCCAGTCCAACACGCACAACCGAGGCGCATCTCGAACCCACAATCACCAATATAAATGTGCGGCAGCAGCAATTCCCAAAGCACCCATCCAATTCTTATCGACTTGTCACAAATTTCTTCCTTCTCGGCTCCCTCTCCTCGTACCACCAGCCCCTACAAAACCACCATTCAGCGAAGCAGTTACAAGGCTCCTGCAGAGACCGCGCGCATGAGGCTTCAGAGCGAAATTATGGCGAATCGACGATTCATCGCGGCATTGGTTCCGCTTGTTCTGCTGATCACCGTCGGCACCTGCACAGCTTACCCTGCATCCCGCTATGGTATGCCCAGCAGCACAGCCATCCCGCCGTCCGCGACGAAAGGCGATGCAGTTTCGTGGGGGGACTACCACATGCATTCCGAACCGCGTCGCTCCCTCGAAACTGTGCATGAACGAGTTTCTGAACCCCTCGTGTTCTACGCTGAGGAGAACAGGTCATCTGGTGAAATTCCCCACTCCCCTCGTCGCGCTACTATCAGTGGCACGGATATACGCCACACTACCGGTAGTAACCACCGCGCTGGTAACCACCTCACTGGCGAAGCGGGGCCAGTTCGTCGGAGCGTCGCGGAATTTCGCATGGCCAGCGAAAGCGACGTGGAGATCCACTCTCGAGGTTACAGTGCCCCTCATGGCGAGGCTCCATCCTTTAATCACCAGCGCGCCCGCGCACGAGGCGCAAGTGGCAGTGGCAGCGCGAGGAATCACAATCAGCGCAGCGAACGCCGCAGCAGGGATAGTGACGGAATGTTTGACATGGCGGCGTATCGTGAAGAGGGTGCAGTTAACAGCCACAGCCCGTTGAACGAGGCTTTTCACAAGGCGTCAGCCGAAGACGTGATTATTCACAACAATAACCGCGGCGTGAGTGGCACCGTGAATCTCGCAGGGCGTCCTCACATGGCGTCAGCTGAGGACGTGATTATTCACGGGAGGAACGGCCCTGCTAACATGGAGAATCGCGGGGTGAATCGCGGAATGAACCGCGGAGTAACTCACGGCGGTAACCGCGGCGTGAGTGGTAGCGTGAATCTCGCAGCGCGTCCTCACGAGGCTTTTCACATGGCGTCAGAGGAGGACGTCATCATTCACAACGGTAACCGCGGCGTGAGTGGCACGGTGAATCTCGCAGGGCGTCCTCACATGGCGTCAGCTGAGGACGTGATTATTCACGGGAGGAACGGCCCTGCTAACATGGAGAATCGCGGGGTGAATCGCGGAATGAACCGCGGAGTAACTCACGGCGGTAACCGCGGCGTGAGTGGTAGCGTGAATCTCGCAGCGCGTCCTCACGAGGCTTTTCACATGGCGTCAGAGGAGGACGTCATCATTCACAACGGTAACCGCGGCGTGAGTGGTACCGTGAATCTCGCCGGGCGTCCTCACATGGCGTCAGAGGAGGACGTCATCGTTCACGGGCGGAACGGCGCTGATAAGAGGAAGAATCGCGGAGCGAGTCGCGGCATGAACCGCGGAGTGATTCACGACGGTAACCGCGGCGTGAGTCGCGGCATGAATCTCGCAGGGCGTCCTCACATGGCATCAGCCGAGGACGTGGTTATTCACGGGAGGAACGGCGCTGCTGGCAGGGAGAACCGCGGCGGATTTAACCACGGCGTCAATCGCGCCATGAACCACGGCGTGAACCACGGCGTGAACCACGGCGCGAATCGCGCCATGAACCACGGCGTGAACCATGGCGTGAATCGCGCCATGAACAACGGCGTGAACCATGGCGTGAATCGCGGAGGGCATCCTTAGGAGGCGGCTGGGCGTTGGGGGCATGGCGGTGCTGTAAGCGTTCCCAGCAAGACCACTGACTATGGTCCTGGCGACAATGGCAGTGGCGACTATCATGGTGACTACACTGGGGATTATGGAGGTGGTTACAGTGGGGACTCTACTGACCATGTAGGTGTTGAGTTTGATGGCGGCGTGTGAAGTTGTATGGGCATGGTGGAGAGGGGTGGGATGGGATCATGGGAGACGCAGGACGGGATGGGAGAAGCATGAGGGTTCTGTGCTGGCTCTTCTGCTCTGCTTGCTGTGTGGACGGTAGTTTGTTGAAGCACATTGTTTTTGTTTCTGGCCCTTATTGATGATGTTGAATGCTATTGTGGTGCAAAGTGTGTAGTGAGAGAGCCAATAGAACAAGGAAATTAGAGGACCACGCATGACATACATGATACACACTTGTTACACGCATGCACGCACATGCTGCACAGTCGTTTCACACATCAGAGCTCGCTCCACATGGCACCACGCCATGGGCACACAGCAGTCAAGAGCGACTGCAGATGCTGCCGCCTACGCATACAGCACTCGAACCACTCTCGCTCTGCTGTCCCCTCTGCTGCTGCTGCCTCTACTGCTGGGCCCCCTGCTGCTGCCCCCTCTGCTGCTGCCCCCTCTGCTGTTCTGCCGGTACAACCAGGCATATTTCCAGTTGGTGGTACGTGTGACGCACAGGAGTTACCCTGTGAACTTGTGTTCTTGAGGTCTACATGGTTCAAACTTCCCAGCTGGAAAGTGCACACGCGAGGTTCCCCCCACCTGCTGCTACTGCCGCAGCCACCAACGCTGCCGTCGCCGCTGCCTCTGCTGCCACCAGTCACAATCCTGCTCGTAGTCGTGACTGTAGTGCTCCTGTGTGGAGTGGGGCTAATGACCCCCCCGCTGGCACTGCAGTTTGGGAAGGTGCGAGTGACGACCGTCCGGACAGAGATTTTGCTGCTGTTGTCTCCTTGTGTAGCGTCTGCGCTGCTGCTACTGGTGGTTGTGCTGTGAATGACACAAGTGGTGCACGTGGGAACTGTTCTCTGCAGTAACTGGAGTGGGAGAAAATGGGGTCCCGGGGGGGGAGGGGCGGAGGTTGGGATGGGGGAAATAGAGAAAGGCGAAGTGAGGCAGGATGAAGAAGGGAGATAAGGGGAGGGCAAAATGGGAAGGTGAATGGCAGCAGAAAGCGGAGGGAGTGAAGGAGGAAGGGCAGGAATTGGTGGAGGAATCGGCAGTGTGGTGAGAGCAGCGCTGGTCAGAGCACATACGTTGGGATGAAGGCGATGGGAGGAAAGCACAAGCAATCACAAGAGTGTGGAAAGTCTACCTGCTTCAGAATCCAGAGACAGTAGCTCAACCGCAGCTCTTCTCCTGCCCGACGCTCCTCCTCTGTTGCACTGCTGCTGCTGTTGTTGCTGCCACCATTACCGCAACCGCTACTGCCAGAAGCATCATCAGCAGCAGAAGTAGTCGCACCAGAAGCAGTAGCATCATAAGACTTGCTTACATCCCCACCTGCACCGTCTCTCACACCCTCCTCCCTCACACGGCTGCTGCACCCCTCCTCGCCTCCCATCACAACCTCTCTCACCTCCCTCTCCATCACATCACAGTGTGTCATCGCCCCACCCTGTACCTCCTTCCATGTACCCTCTCCATCCTTCCTCCCATCTTTTCCCTCTCCCGTCTTCTCCCTCTCCTCTCCCTCCCCTCTCCCATCAACCATCCGTTCCTCCTTCCTTTCCCCTTCCCCTCCCACCGCCACCACCAGTTCATCTCCTGCTCGTCCTCTGCTATTTCCACACGCCTGCTTCCGCTGCTGCTGCAGCAGGAGGTGCTGCGGCGAGAGCCAATCAGGCGGCGACAGGTGGCAGCACCAGAAGAGTGCGAGGAAGCGACGGTGGATCCAGAGAGCCTGTGAGATGGGTTTGGGGTTTAGGGTTTCGGGGACAAGAGCATGCGGATTAAGGAGACAAGAGCATGCGGACTGAGGGGACAAGAGCATGGGGAGAGCCATGACAACCAGGAGGCAAAGAATGCACAGTGCAGCTCCTGTCTCCATACAGGGGATACAAAGTCAATCTAGAGGAAAAAGAAACAGAAAAAGAGGAAACGAACAGCACAGCTCGTAACTTTGTCCTCTTCCTGTTCCAATTCACCTACACCTGTAAGATCCTGAATGCACAATTCACCTACACCTATATGATCCTGAATGCACACTTTCCTAATGCACGCACCTCCCTGTTTGGATACCGGTGAATGAGTGGAAGGAGGAAGTGCCACTCTTCCTGCGTCACAGCGGGAGGCATGGGGAGTAGTGGGGTTGTGCAAGGTGGGGGTTTGGGGGAGGAAAAAAGTGTGGGAAGGGGGAATTGATGTCGGGAAAAACGCAGCCATGTGCAAGTAGGGAAGCTTACATACAGCTCAAGAACCAATGTAGCAGTGGATATTGGTGTTTGTGCAGGTCATACTTATTTGTACGTACCAGCCAGGTTTCTGACAGCAGGGATTGTGAGACGGCTGACTGTACTGGTGATGCAGCTGACTGGGCATGGGTGTATGCTGACTGTATGTGAGTCACGGTATGTGCTAGTGGCGATGGTGATGGTGGCACGGCTGGTGGTACGGAGGCTGATCGTGATGCTGATGCTGATGGTGAATGAACGCTGCTGCCGATGGTGCTGATGCTGGCGCTGGTACTGGTGCTGGTGGTAGTCACAGTGGATCCAGCATTGGTGTTGGCGGTGCTACTCGTGTGAAAAGACGCCGAGGAGGAGGAAAAGGAGGAGGGGAATGCAGCTCGCAACAACGCTGAAAGAAGCTCCTGCAAATACGGAACGGGTTCGAGCGGGTTGAAATGGAAGAGGGAACGAAGGAAGGGAAGTGGGGAGGATGGTAGGAGGGGAGGAATGGGAAGAGGGGAGTGAGGAAGCGATTTTTACAGGCATGTTTCAAGGCAGGAATTGGTCGGGTGGCTTGTGAATCACACGCATCTTCTTGATTTGAGACCATTTTGTAAAGCGCCCACAACAAACTGGTGGGTCTGTGAGCAGGCTGTGTTTGTAATTCATTCATACATACCACGTGGTTGGTGCAGACTGTGGTTGGTAGTGCACAGAACCGACCTGGTAGTGCACAGAACCGACCTGGTGCTGGTGGTATGAGGCCCAAGTAATCCACCCCATTCCTTCATCTTCTTCCCTTCCGTCACCATCAACTACCTGGTGATACCCCCTCAATTAATTTGATATTCCTTGTTTTTGTGACCACCTCGTTCCTCTCACCCCCTCAAACCCTCCATTATCCAGGCTGACTTACTCTGCGGTAGTGGAAGAGGCAATTGTCCTCCACACTCCGTGCTGCCCACTCCCTGGTGCTCCCCAGCTGCTGCTGCCACTGGGGAATGGAGGTGAGGATTGGGGGAGGAGGCGAGGAGGGGGAAAGGAGGTGGGTAGGGAGAGAGGAGGGAGAGAGGAGGGGGAGAGGGGGGAGAGAGGAGGGGGAAAAGAGGGGGGGAACAGAGGAGGAAGAGAAGAGAGCAGGCGTTGAGGGGAGAACGAGCGAGCAAAAGTGCAACAGGAATGATAGAGAGGCGAAGTCAGAAGGGGGCATGAGGGTGAGGGAAAGTCGTGGGGGGAGACGAGGCATGTCATGCCAGTCCCAATGACGTGTCATGGACATCCCTCTGTGCGCCATGCAAATACCCTCTGTGCGCCATGCAAATACCCCCTGTGCGCCATGCAAATACCCCCTTGCACATCCCCTTGAATGCACACATACCATATCTGGCGACATGAGAGGGATCAGGGAGCAGCGATGCGCCCAAGGGCGATAACCCAGGGGAAAGCGCTGCAGTGGCAGACCGGTGGGGAAGGGGGTGGGGAAGGGGGACGACAGAGTTTGGGAGGTAAGGAGGAGGAGAGGGTGGGAGGTAAGGGAGGGAAGAGAGGGAGGGAGGGAGTGGGAGAAAGAAGAGACTGAATAACATTTGGGTGGGGGTATGGCAAGGGAGAAACTGAACGTCACTTTTTTTTTTTTTACACCAGAACGTGAACCGAATGTAGCAAAGATTAGAGACGGATGCAGGCAACTTGTAACACACTGAGACGGATACATATGTAAGTGCGTGAGAATGGGCGTGGGCGTGTGTGTGTGTGTGTGTGTGTGAGTGAGTGAGTGAGTGAGTGAGTGTGTAACAGAACTACCTGCGCAATGGTGTAGTGGAAGGCAAGCTCCTCATTTAACAGTGTAAGGAGCTTTGGAGGAAGAGGAGAGTACGAGAGCGGAGGGGAGGATGGGGTGGAGGAGGAGGAGGAGGAGGAGGAGGAGGAGGAGGAGGAGGAGGAGGAGGAGGAGGAGGAGGAGGAGGAGGAGGAGGAGGAGGAGGAGGAGGAGGAGGAGAAGAAGGATGAAGACGAGAAGGAGGAGGAGGAGGAGGAGGAGGAGGAGGAGGAGGAGGAGGAGGAGGAGGAGGAGAAGGAAGAGGATGACGAAGAGGAGGAAGAGGAGGAGGAGGAGGAGGAGGAGGAGGAGGAGGAGGAGGAGGAGGAGGAGGAGGAGGAGGAGGAGGAGGAGGAAGAGGAAGAGAAGGAATAAGAGGAGAATGAGGAGGAGGATGCGACAGTAGATTCGGTGACAGTCTTCAAAGGCTCCTCTTGTTGCTGCTGCTGCTGCTGCCGCCTTTGTTGCAAGAGGTAAAGCCGAGCCAAGTGGCCAATCACAAAGCGACTGAAACCGACAGGTGGTCAGTGAAAGGAAGGGGGGAAAACATGGCGATTAAAGGAGAAATTCTTGTTCTCAACAAGAAAATCAAATGAGAAGGACGAGGGAGAACTGAAGAGATTGAAGGAGAAGAATAGACTGGAAAATCATTCCAGGTTCACGTCTTGTTGCCAACAATCAAAGAGGAGGAGTTGTGGAAGTGAAGCGTTTTCGCACATATGGAAGCGGGTCTTGTGTGTGAATTTGAAGTGACACCGATAAAAGGGCAGGGAGGAGTGATGGGAAAGCACCACGTGTGCATTCAAGATGACTCCAATATGATTGGCTTGTGGTGTGCGCGTGTGAGGAGAGGGGGGAGGGGGGAACGGGGGGTGGGTGTGGATGGGTGGGTATTGAGGGCCCGACCAAGAAAAAAAAAGCATTCGACTTGGGTGGCAACGTGCGTGGTTCTAATCTGATCTTACCGGTGAGCCCAAGCATCTGTGCTCTCCACAAAGAAGAACAAAACACGACTCCTCTGAACGAGAGACTAAAAAATCATCTGAGCTTACCGGTGAGCCCAAGCATCTGTGCTCTTGCCAAAGAACGAGAGCACAACTCCAGTAAGTGCCAGCTCAGCCTGTAACCGAGCCTCGTCCTTAGGCTCGGGGAATGCTCCCGCAGGCTCGGAAAAGGTTCCGAAGGAGGAATCAGAATGAGGGGACTTGTGAGGAGAGAGTGTGCGAGAATGAGGTGGTGTGAGGATGTTGCTAGGCATGTGTGAAATTGTGGGGTTCAGTTCTGGGTTGCACGGGTGTGGGAGGCATGTGTGGTTGCAGGGTTGAGCCGAGGAATACGGAGAGGGCGAGTGGGCGTATGAGGGGAATAGCCGATGCCTCCTGCTTTGGGAAGCGCAAAGAGAAACAGAGGGAGGAGAGGGAAAGAGGGAGGGGGGGAGGGAGGGAGGGAGGGAGGGAGGGAGTGAGGGAGGGAGGGAGGGAGGGAGGGAGGGAGGGAGGGAGGGAGGGAGGGAGGGAGGGAGGGAGGGAGGGAGGGAGGGCGGGAGAGTGGGAGGGAGGGAGGGAGGGAGTGAAGAAGGAGGGAGGGAGGGAGGGATGTACGAGATAGGCAGACAAGGTTGCAGGCATATGAGGCACATGAGGAGGATGCAATACGATCATATGCCTCTGCCTGCCTCTGCCTGCCTCTGTCAATTGTATGCAACGTTTCAGTGCAGAGGCAGGAAGGCAAACAGCAGCTCCTAAATTGACTTCCCGCTTGCTCCCTCCCTCAAACTCAAATCACACCTGCCTCTCCCACATCCCATCCCAACCAACCCCCTTCAACCCTTCCAACCCTCTTAACTCCTTAACCGACCACCATCTCCCTTGCACTCCTCCTTTAAACCCCAATTCCATCTTTTCCTCTCTCTCCCATCAGCATTCGTCCCTGCCATGCCTTCAAATAACGTGCACACACACCCACCTCACATGCCATGCCGTGCTGTGCTCGCCATTCACCAGCACCAGCGCCTGGGTCACCAGATCTACCTCCTCTCTCTCCGCATCCTTCTCCTCCTCCTCCTCATCCTCATTCTTCGTATCCTCCTTCTCCTCCTTTTCTCCTCCTCCTCCAGCTTTTTCCACCTGACCGGCCCCCTCCCCTCTCATTCCCTGCAGCCGCGCCGAAGCAGCAGCGAATAGCGGGGGGACAGCTGGCATGGCGATGGCGAGCTTGTGGTCTTGGAGGTAGAAGGAGGAGGAGGAGCAGGCAGATGTGGAGGAAGATGTGGAGGAAGATGTGGAGGAAGATGTGGAGGAAGATGTGGAGGAAGATGTGGAGGAAGATGTGGAGGAAGATGTGGAGGAAGATGTGGAGGAAGATGTGGAGGAACCCAAGGGACGTGACAACTTCTCCTCTCCGTCCACCATTTTCTCCGTCAGGTTGACTGGCTTTTTCTCACTGCTGGACGGTTCTGGCAAGGCAGGCAGGATGGCGTATTCATCTCTGGCAAGCAAGTAAGGAGATGACCAGGGGGGTTTGATGGAGAATTCAGGGAGATAGGAGGTAGAGATGTGAGGGGTGAGAGAGTGAGTTTTGCATGGAGGAGCAGTAGAATGAAGAGCACTGAAAAGGGATACCTGGAGAGAGGGAGAGGGGATTTTGGTGACTTGTACACTTGAGGAGAGGGTGTGGAATAAAAGCGGTTGTAGGCAGTCAATAACTGTCAGCAGGCAGTCAAGAGGAGGTTAGGAACCAATTTCGTCCCTTAGTCTGTGAGTTTGCGGTTTGTAACCAATTCGTGAATTCGCCAATTCGTCCGTCCGTAAGCTTTCCTCCCCATCCGTCAGTCAGTCCATCCGTCCGTCAGCCAGTCGACCTGACAATCCCTGAGTGAAACAAACGAGCTACTATATGCTACGATCTATGGGCAACGAACCACGAGAACCGCACATGTATGGGTCGGATAGGAGCACAGACTGCAGTTCCCGCAGAAGCGCGGCTCCCTCGTACACCAGTTTCGCATTGCGGGTGCTAACGAGCGAATCAGCAGGCGCGGAGGCATCCGCGTTTTGAGATGACTCGGCTTCCGTTAAGCGCGTTGGGTCCTGCGCAGTTGTTGCCATTTCTGCACTTGCTGTCAGAGCAAAGACCAGCGGAAAGTGCGCACAGGTGGAATCCTGACACGACTCGTGAAGATTAGAGAGGCGGCGGGCAGGACTCTAGCCTAGGGAATGTGCCGGATATAAGTATCTCGTTACACAACGTTGTTCGAATCGTCAGTAGAGGAATTTTGAAGGATGAGAGGTTGATTTGTAATTTACGGTTTATTATAGAGTCAAATTATATATGTGAAACGATGAGGTGTTTCAACACGGTTTCCGAACGCCTAATTTCCTATTATCTACCCGTTAGTGGTGACATACCAGCTTTGGAAATTCAAATAACCGCAGCTGTTCTCAGCTTCATTCAACTTGGCTAATACACCTGACCATTTTTTTTGCGGGTAACATCGCCGTAACGCACTGATTCGTGCCTTTCGCAAGAACCAGCGACGAGAGCTGGGTAACCACCTTTTTGCCCACCAATGTCCATCAGGGAATTCCTCGTCAGCCCGGGATGTTCCCAATTGCCCAAATCTCTCAACTTCCCCATCATGCATGTGCATGGCAGGGCGATTACGAGCACCGAATGTGTGACCAAGTGGAGACCGCAGGGCACGGCGCGTGGACGGGCTTAGCTGGAACTGACTGTGTGACCTTCTCTATTCGCCCTACCCTCTATCCTACCCAACGGGCTTAGCTGGAACTCACTGGGAATCTCTGCCCCACCCTCACCTGTATCATAGTCCTGAGAGGCCTGGCGTCGCCTCCCACATCTCACGTGCCAGTCGCGAGGGACGCGCGGCGACCGAGCCAGCCCAGTCACACCTCGGGCGCCACGCGTCTCGCTCTCAGTAACTTGGATGATCGAATGCAAACGCTTGGTAATAGTATCGTTACCGGCTCTTTCCCGCGCCGGCGACTCCCCTCTTGCATTTCGACCATCCACCGTGTGCATTTGCCGTGGTGCCTAAGCCATGTGAATCCGCTCCATCCGTCCGTCCTCTTCCTCCTCCTTACCCCGCGAGCATCATCATCCTCCGTGTGCATACGGCGATGCGCGCATGCAACAACATCCAATGTGCGCCCAGGCTTATTGACCAACTAGTAACTCTCACCTTCATCCCGCAACGCGCGTCGCGTGTTCCGCGTCGCGAATCGCGCTTCCGCACCAGTCCCATCCCCGTCCCTTCCGGTCCCTCCCAGCTCCCGGTCCCCATCTCCATAAAATCCTCCCTCCATCATCATTCCATTCCGTGACGTTCTCTCTCTCCCGCAACCGTTCTTGCTTCCACTCGCTCACTCTCTCCCCATCTCTAGCACCTTCCCGTTCGCACCACCCCAATCATCGCCATGGCGACCCCGTCCCCGCTCAAGTCCGTGACGGCGCACTCGTGGGAGACTGAACCCGAGGGTGCGCTGGAGGGGATTGTGCTCGAGGACGATGCGATCTTCGACCCCGTGAAGGCCGTTAAGGGCAAGATTTCGAAGCTCGTGCCGGAGGAAGGACACAAGCCCACGCACTGCCTTGCGCGCCTGCGCTTCCACCCCAACACGGAGAAGCAGCTCAACAACATGATCAAGTAAGGCCTTCCATGCCAGGACTTAGGCTGCTCTTTTTCTTGTTGTAACCGTGAAGTCGGGTCTGTCTTTCTCCTGTCTCCAAACTAAATTTCTCTTTGTCGTGGTGGTTGTGCTGACAAACGCCTGTTGTGGGATTCGTTCCGCCATGTGCAGTGTGGAGTACGCCATGTCCTACACCTTCCACAGCATGAGCAACTACTATGCTCGTGACTGCGTGGGTCTTCCAGGTCTTGCAACGTAAGATCTACCCCGCATAAGTGTGCTCTGCACTGCTGTATATTAACAGAATTATGCGGCTCTTCTACGGTCTCATCTTTGTGTAATGTGGCTTCACCTGATGTGCCTGTTTTTGACTGTTAACTGCAGACTTTTCATGAAGCGCAGCGATGAGACCAGGAAGAACGCTATCGAACTCGGCGCCTATGTCGTAAGTACCTTTCAGCATCTCGGTCCATACCTTGAACTCTAACACTAGTTTCTCGTTCCACTTCTCCTGGGACTCCATAGAACCTGCTCCCCACTCCTATTCCTATTCTCCTCGCCATTGGCATGTGAATGTTTATTATGCAGTCCAAGCGTGGGGGGTGTGTGGTGTTGAAGCCCATTGCTGCGCCTGAGGGCGAGTATGGTGATCCTCAGAAGGGAGATGCTCTCAGTGGTACGTCTGAAAAGCATTGCTTATCGAATCCGTAGTTGCATCAACGTATGAATGCTTGATTAAAACACAAAAAACACCTCATGTGCATCATTTCTTGGGTCTGGCATCAACGTATGAATGCTTGATTAAAACACCAAAAACACCTCATGTGCATCATTTCTTGGGTCTGGCGTTTAAACTGCATGCAGGCATGGAGCTGACCCTGGCTATGGAGAAGGCAGAGACTGATAAGTTCCTTTCGCTGAACAAGGTACAGTGGCGTTCCATTCTTTTCCATTCTTTTGTGAGGCTACCTTGTCCCCTCTTTGGCATTTCCAGAAAGTACCTTGTTCTTACATATACTGTTTATTCATACGCTATTTCATTCTTCAGGCTGCGGAAGATGTGGTGGATGAGCAGCTTTCAGACTTTCTCACCGACAATTTCATTGACAAGCAGGTAGGTGTCAGCTGCTGGAGCCTGTGGTGGGACAAAGTGAAATGTGGAAAGCAGCGTCTACTGTAATTTTGACCTATTGTGCTGTTCAAATCATGCTGTTCCTTGCCAGGTGGAACTTCTCAAGCTCCATGCCATCTATGTGTCGCAGCTGCGCCGCGTGCGCACTGGCCATGGTGAGTGCAGAGAGCATGATAGTTGCGATGTCAAAAGTTTGCATAGGACACGGTGGACCTATTGGTTCGGAATTGGTGGCTTATTCCTATTTTGTTTTTCTCCCTTACAGGCCAGTGGCACTGGGACAAGACGCTCGCAGAGGAGCTTGGGACCAAAGCCATGTAAATGTGCATAAGAAATCTAAATCGGCCATTGTGTGGATGGCCGGGAGCAATGATGGATGTGGGATTGTGGATTTTTTTTCTATGGTAGAAATTTCGAGTGGCTACTGTAAATTGTACATAGTGCATGCAATATATCGACAAGATCGGAGTTTTGGTACATGTTATATGGGAGCTAAAGCGGAAAGCGCGAAAGAACTATTCATTCCATTCCACATTCTCCCCTCATTTCTATGGTGTTATGGCTGCCATGGTTGATGCCTTAGCCCCTAGCTCTGTGCGCGCTACGGCTCCAAACGCATGGCAACCACGGGATAATTCTCGCTGTTTCCTCGCATTCTCTTCCTGCTCCGCTGCGCTTCCTACCAGTTTGAGAAATAAGGTGTCTTTGACTGGGAAATGCTCCCATCGTTTCGTCTCCGCCAGACGAAGCCTGTTTCGGCGAAACGCTGACACTTTCCTGTTACTATCGGGTGTTGCTTCGCGAGGGATGACGTCACCTTCTCGCGAAGGAGGTCTGTCAGTCCGTGCCGATGGTGATCCCGTACGGGAATGGATTCTCAGCGAGACGGGGGGTAAGGCGAGCACAATAACGCGGATATCTCCTGTGTTCGGCGGGTGCATCAATAACGCGTCTAGATACGAAACGGACGTCGGTTCCTTTTTCGTGAAAACGAACAGGTGAGGAACATGTGGGAACGAGTTTACTTAAGACAGGAGGGCAGTGGAAGGAGAGTGAGTTGGGAAGCCTTGAAGGGGAATCATGGGTAGAACGGCTAGGAAAAAAAGGTATACGCTGCATTAACGTCATTGGTGCGCGTGTCTGAGTGTTCCCGGTCCCCTTTCCATCCCCCCCTCCCCCTCCCTTTTCCCTTCCCCCTTCCCCTTCCCCCTTTCCCCCAGCTCCGCGGGGCCGGCAATGTTCGAGGCGGAGGTGGCGGGGCTGCGGGCGATGGTGGAGGCGGGGGCCATCCGCGTGCCGCGCCCCTTCACTGCAGGCGCCATGCCGCGCCGCGGGTCGTATGTCGTCATGGAGTTCATTGAATTCGGCCAGCTCAAAACGCAGGTGTGGAGGGAATGGGCGGGAGGGGAGAGGGGAGGGGGGAGGGGAGGGGGAGATGGGCCAGGGTCGTATGTCGTCATGGAGTTCAGTGAATTCGGCCAGCTCAAAACGCAGGTGGGGAGCGGTGGAGGAAAGGGGAGAAGGGGTTGAAGTGGGGCAAGGAGGTGCGGAACAGGGGAGTGGGGAAAAGGGGGTAAGGCGGGAAGGGGGGAAAAGGAGGAGGGGCAGGTGGGCCAGGGTCATACGTGGTCATGGAGTTCATTGAATTCGGACAGTTCAAAACGCAGGTGCGGACCAATGGGAGGAATGGTAGCTGGGAGAAGGCAGGGAAAGGAATGGGAGGGTAGGGGCGCCAGGTTTGTACATAATAATTACGTTTATCGAATTCAGACAGTGGAGAAGTCAGGTTAAGGAGGTGGGGAGAGGGGGGTATGGGGGAAGGAGCTTTGGTTCTAGAGTTGTAGATCAGAACAGAAAGTATTTAAATCTGGCCAGGTATAAGCGTAGACGCGGGGAGATGGGAAGGCTGTGGGGAAAAGGGGGCCCATGGGGTTGAATGGTGATTGACTGGAGGTGCATGCGGACGAGGGAAGAAACATGAAAGTGGGATCCTCGGGAAAGAAGGGGTTTCTTCGTGGTATGGATGCTTGAAGGACAGTAGGAGGAACTTGAATCGAGGAACAAGGAACTTACAAGGCAGCAGCTTGCATTCTATCCTTTTTTTCTTGTTCATTGTCCAGATTGTCATGGTTGAATCAAACCCTCTTATAAAACAATTAACTCCATTTCCTCGCTTTGATCTGTCTCAGGCGGAGTTAGGGCGGCAACTAGCCCTCATGCACCTGCAGGGGATGTCGCCTAATGGACAGTTTGGATTTCATTGCGATAACACCATTGGCAGGTGGACTCATGCCACACATACAGCACACACGGTTGAAACGAAATCTCTCATTTTTCCTGTCAGTCCTCGAATTTTCGTTTTCTGTTACCATCTACCGCTACTGCCCACTGCTACAGCTCGCTGCCGCTGCTGCCTAATGCTGTTTCTGCCTGCGTCTGCTGCTGCCTCCTGCCGCGCCATGCAGCACGCCCCAGCCCAACAAGTGGGAGAGTGACTGGGTGACGTTCTTCAAAGAGCATCGCCTGGGTCACCAGCTGAAGCTGATCCGCAAGCAGTTTGCAGATAATGCCCTCGTCGCCAGTGGTGAGGCAGGATGGTGTGTGTGTGTGGTGTGGTGCATGGTTGATGGTGCATGACATATGATGCATCATGATGCATGGTGGATGGTGCATGACGCATGGTGGATGGTGCATGATGCATATGGTGCATGGTGCATGATGGATGGTGCATGATGCATGGTGGATGGTGCATGATGCATGGTAGATGGCGTGTTTCACCTGGCATGCCGTGCATGGCACATGTACAAGAATGGCCATGGGTTGCATTGCATGTGATGTGATCAATTTCTCAAACCACACACACTGCCATACTCTTCAGATGGTACAGCTGAATTCGTTTGCTACTCAACTGTCCTGTCTTACCTTGTGGCTCATTCAGGGGAGAAACTGCTGGAGAAGCTTCCTGAGTTGCTTGGTGGTGTGGAGGTGAAGCCAAGCCTCTTGCATGGGGACCTGTGGAGCGGAAACATTGCTGCAGATAAGGAAGGCAATCCAGTCATCCTCGACCCTGCTACATACTGTGAGACGCAACTTGTAGGAAACATGGCAGCTATAGTGCACTAGGCATTGGAGAATCTAAATCTGTGAAGCCAGTTTTGGGATAAAATCCAGTCTCGTACTTTACCTTTCCTGGCTGTACCTGCCCCATTTGTCATGTGCAGATGGCCACAGTGAAGCTGAATTCGGAATGTCGTGGTGTGCCAGTTTTGGCGGTTCGTTCTGGTCAGCGTATTTTGAGGTACGTTGTTTGCCACCTGTTCTCCTTGCGAAGTTCATCCCCCGGTTGTTTTGCATTCCCGTGGCAGTTTACGCTATTTTGACTATGTACTGCTATTGTATGCTATTAAGCTGATTCAATAAAACTATTGTTATCTTTCCAGGTTCTTCCTAAGCAACCTGGCTTTGAAGAAAGAGTGGAAATTTACAAGCTGTACCACTACCTCAATCATTATAACCTCTTTGGATCATCATATCGTTCGTCCTGCATGTCTATCATCAATCGGTTTGTCTGATGTGGATCATGAGTTATGGTATACTAGTGTGGACTTGAACCAAACACACAACAGTCATTACCAGGCCATGTTTACCATATGTGGTATTCATGACAATTCCTGGTTGGACAAGTCTGATTTGCTGGTGTACAAAGAAGGGTTCAAAACTTGTTTGAGTGAAACCTGAAACCAAGTCTCATACTCACAATATGTATATATTTTAAAAGCTGTAACGCTTTTCAAAATTATGTATTTTGAAAGCGAAGCGGCTTGTAATGTAGGATTTGGCAGCGTAGAGCCGCGCTAAACGCCCGTTTTGGAGTACAAAACGTGGGTTGGAGGTCATTTCCCTCCACCCACGTCTCTCATTTTCAAACGGTTACCCCCCCCCCCCCCCCCCCCCCCCCCCCCCCTTCGTAAGCAGGATAGCCTTAGTAACATAGAGGCATATGATTGTTATGTCACTCCATGGATTTCAATTGTACTAAACCCATTTGAAATGAGACGATGCCAATTGCTACATGCAAGAAAGCAAGCTTTCTAAATCTTTACCTTGGTGTGAGCACTGGTAACAGTCATGCTTCATTACTTGGGCGTGGCATGGCAGTACAACTTATAACAAAATGATAATACATAATAACTCTGAACAAACGAAATGCATCATAGACACAACCTAGCAGGTGACCTAATCCGCTGTACATATCAACTCAAGCCACCAAAAAACTCATGTACAGATCTGGAAGACAGCTTGCGAGGGATCTCACACCCCACCACCTGGTGGTTTGCTCGTTCCTCTCGCGGGCCTTCATATGAATCAGACAAGCCTTGAGAGTAACGGACAATGTCCGTCCACGGCTTTAATAGGAGAAAAAAATCCTTCGATTCGAGTCTTGGGAGCAACTGATGCTGAGACTTTACAAGAGTCCGCTCGAACAGACTCGGAAGCTAATAGTAGGCCATGGACCTGTAAAACAGGCGGCCTCCGAAAATTACAGTCCTTGACTATAGGATTGGAAGCTCTCGCTGGAGGGGAAAAAACAGGGAGCTTGTCCGAGGCAAAATCCTTCCCTTCCTGAAGAAAACGGGAATGGGAGCTTGTTAAAAATGTGGCAGGAGAGGTGGACACGTATACTAAGACAAGGTAGAGAGGTTATGTACCCGAAAAAAAAAAATCTCCATGAGTTCCTTTCCAACGTCAGGATCCGCCTTCGAAGGACCGCATCCACTGCAAGAAGGCAACAGAAATAGGTGTGACATGAGTTGTGGGCATCATGCAGAAGTAACCAACCATTCTGCACTATTTACATTCACAAACCTAAGGGGTCTTCGAGGCTTCGCATCGGAAACACTGAGCACTGGAACACGAATTTGCCTTGGACATGGATACAACAACGCTGAAGACTGAGGGGAAACAGGGTTCACTGGCCTGGGCCTCCTTCGTTCCAAAGTATCTACTTTCGTGTCGGGCATATTCAACAAAATGGTATGACTATACATTCCACAATACTTAATCGCCAACAAGCTAATCTAAGCAAGCAAGAGCACTGTCGCATACCGACAGCTGCGAGGGACTAATAAGACGCCATGGCTAGAGGAGTAATATCAATTGATGGCTGATTTTGGGGTGAACAAGAACAGGAAACGGATGAAACCCTCATCTGATGTAGCAACTCCTCTTCCAGCAAATTTCCGTTGCTAGGCTCAGACAGGCAAAGCGGGGTGAAACCAGACAGGCACTCCCTTCACTACACACACACTCCCAGAACCGTTTGTTGGGTTGGAGCGTTTTGTGATTGGCGCACACATCACCTACTAGAAAAACACGGGCTGGAAATTTTTGCTTCCCGCACGCCTCACCCCCGCAAGGCAGCGACACGCTAGACGGTCAGAATTTTTGAAGCGCCACGTTATCCAGCCGATGTTACGGGATGGGAGGCCATGCTTTCGCTGGGCACCTCGTTTAAAAATCTCTTTTGGCGGCGGAACCTCCTATCAGGATCCAGCACGGCCATCATGGTTGCAGAAAGTGGCAGTTCCGACTACGAAGGGTCAGGGCACAACCAACGCTTTGGCGCCAACCTGACAAGATCTGGACACACGAACAACATTCATGCTCCTTCCAGAAATGTCGTTCAACGTCCCCAGAAAAATATTCTGCCCAATGTAACGGACGTCCGTCGTGCACAACCTTCAATCTTTTTGAATGGGGCACCAGTACGCAAATAAAGTAGCGGTGTGCAAGCGATACGCTGAATAACATCCTGTACCGTTCTGTATATATTTCTGAAAGCTCTAAAATGCGAAGAAGCGAACTGATTCCTCACACACTATTTGCCCGGAAACCTTCGAAAAAAAGCAGGCGTACTTCCAGCGTGAAGTGACACACATGACTTTCGTTGTGATCAAAATGGGGTAATGATAACACAACCTGAATGTGTATTCTTTCCCACAATGAGGATATTATAAACTCATTTTCTTTGACCTTCATTGCTTAGAGTTATTGGACTGGTTGTGCTTCTTTGTTTCTTCGTCTAACAAATTTAAACGCAATCTATATACCATGGGCATCATATGATTAGGAAAATATATAACTCCACCTTTGAATTAAATACTCCCTATTATGTACTCATGAAATAACGTGGGAGAAATATATTATTCATGGTACGAGATAAGATTACCATCTAAATAAAGTCATCTTAAGTTCTCAGTGCTAAGTTGTAACAGGATATACATGTTTAGTGAAGTATGTTGTTAGGAATGAAACTGTAGTGTCAACCTTGACGTGATATTTCTCTAATAGATGGCTCCCCTTTCCCAAGAGCGACACAGTGGGATGGCGCGTCATGCGTTGGCAAGATGATTGGTCCCGAAACACAGCTGACACCCACATTGCAGCGGCGATGTGAGTGGGGCGTGGCATGAATGAAGATCTTCGATACCTGACCAATCACACAAAGCTGCTTACAGTATTATTCTGCATGGGTATGCTTGTGAACTGCTTGCTTCGCGCCCACCTCAAACGTGTCTCTGGCTAAAAGTGATCTGGCAGCTGTGTTAGGGACGTCGAGCTTGCGTCAGCCAACGGAACGAGGGGCTGGCGCTGACTCATTCAGTCACTTAAGCCGTCCAATGAGAGGGACTTCCTAATTACATGAGAGGTAAAATGATTGATTTCTGCCCGTGTTCTGTGTAAAGGGTTCTGAATCAGCAAAATGTGTACGACAGGCTAAAAACAGAAATATATGAAGTCCATACCAAGGGAATACAGTCATTTGTCTCGTATTGTTTCAGAACCCTTTTGCCATTAACATTTTGCGTGCCAGCCCGTACTTGTCACCCGTGCCGCGTGGGTCATCGTCGATTCTCCTTTGCTGACCTGCCTGACGCGGTTTATCAAGCCCCTTCTCTCCCCCTTCGCTTGCAACTTCACATCACGTTCATTCAACCTCCTTCCACACCATTCCCCCAACCAACCAACCCTCCGTCGTGCACCTCGAAACCTCCGCCTCCACCCGTCTCTTCAGTGTCCATTACCATCTATTCCGAAACCCTACCCGCTTAGAGATCGCTCCACCCAAGTGGTTAGCGAGGGCGGGGATCGAGCTGCAGCTGCGTGCCTCCCGCTAACCCTACCGTCGTCGTACGATTCTCAGCCGTTCTTATTTGTGGGAGGCTCGCTCAGCCTTAACCATTAACCATTTCCTCTGATTATTCATCTCCATCGCCATGGCCGCCGCGTGGGGTGTTCAGGTTGGAACCATGACGTCCATTCCTTCTACCTCGATTTTTCAGTCTCGTCGCGATGTATTTTCCGGACCTTCAAGTCCGTCATCCAGCAATTCTATGCCAATCTCAACTTCCCCGATCACAATCAGAGCTCACCTGCCATCGGCGCACGGTTTGCTTCGCGGGCCACCTTCGGGTCCTACGACCTGCCGCAACACCGTGTCGTGGCAATTGGGAGCAATAACACCTCTAGGCCGTACCAGCAACACGACGCGGCGGTTTTTCTCGGTCCGAGCGGCGTCTTCAGGAGCCGCAACCGAAGATAATCACACGCGCTCCTCTGCCGCTGCGATGGAACGGACCGCCAACTCACTCTACGATCTTCTGGGCCTTTCCCGTCGCGACGCGTCGCTGGAGGAGATCAAAGGCGCGTACAGGATGCTAGCGCGGCGATATCACCCGGACGTCCGTCCGGAGGGCCTTACCCTCGAAGAGTGCACGCAGAGGTTTATCGAGGTGCAGGAAGCGTACGAGGTCCTCTCCGACCCGCAGCGCCGTGCTATGTACGACTTCGAGATGCTGCACCCGGCTTCCGCTAAGGCCGGCGCGCATCCGTGGAGAAGGGAGGCCGGCTGGCGACGAGGAGTGGCGCGTCCCTGGTCCACGGTGGACTCTCCGTGGCAGTCGCCTGAAGAGGAGGAGCAGATGCGCACGGCGTGGCGCGCGCAGTGGGGGAGTCAGCTGTCGGGTCTGAAGCAGCGGGCTCGGGCGCAGTCCAAACCTGGTTCGTGGGCTGCGCGCATGCGGCAGGAGCAGGGTGGCGAATCCGCGTAAGCGGGACGTCTGATTCTTGTATATTCTTCTCGTCGAGAGCGGGAATCGGTCGGCCGGCCTATCTTTTAGTGACTGACAACGAAGTGTTGCAGAACTTGTAGAAGCCCAATGGCTTCTTGCAGGCAGAGGTTGACTCTGGCAGCGAGGGAGAACTCTTGTCACATACGGTACCGGTGCTCCCCTTACTCCCACACGATAGCATCCGTTTGGTTTGACTGCCAAGTCCCCGGTTAGGATCCAGGCAGGACACGTGTACGTGGCTTGCGTTGTTGGTAGCTGGTTTGAGGGTGCTTGCTAGGTGAGTTGGCTTGGCTCTTTAGCTTGTGCATAGAAATTCTGTCACTTCTCATTGTAAATGCCCATACAAATACACTTTGTGGTCTGTCCTCGTATCTTAGGGCTACCATCTAGTCAAAGAGCATAGCGTACTACCATTCCTTCCATGCATGCAGCCTCTGCCAATTTTGCACGGATCGATATTGGAAAAATCATCCTCCACCTGACCGGTTTACTACGTACGTAAAAAACACAGCAGCAAGGCTGAATAAAGGATATTCAAGCAGCCAGGAGAAGCGGAGGTCTGAGTGAGTAGAAGGGGTCCCGTCAGGGTCGAAGCGAAATCGAGAGGCCGAATATCCCCTCGTAATGCCTACATATGGGGCCACCTCTGTCTACCATGCCGCAAATCATCAATTCTGTATGCGGGCAGATTTGCAAGTATATGAAGATGACGTGTTTCAGTTCTGGTCCCCAGGCTGGGGCTTGCCATTAAGGTGTTTAGGTAAACATGAAGTAAGCCACGTTAACTAGAAGACAGCAACGACAGTCCCGCTTCCATTTTCGCTACATGACAAAACTATCTACGGTTGACCTAGTATCTATGCCGAGTCCATTCCGATGTGGAAGCTGCTGGATTTGTCGGCGAGAAGCAGCTTCTCCAAGACTAACTTCGAAGCACGAGAAGCAAGTAACTTCCAACAATTTACTTGATCGGAATAAGGACGTTGTCAATTTCGTAGCAGATGGCCGTGGGGTCCCTGTACAGGATCTTGGTAACATTCGCCAGCTCGTAACCCTGCTGGGCGAACTGAGGACCCACGGTCACGGCGCCGGGCTTGACAGACTTGTACTTCTGGATCTGCCTGCCGGTGCCGCTGAAGGTGACGTAGCCCTGGCCGACAGCGTCCTTTGCCAGGCGCTGGGGAACGGCCTGGAAGTTGAGCATGCCGAACTTGAGCAGATCCTGGAGAGTGGCCGGGGTCTTGGCATATGTTTTCTGCGCGGAGAGAAAGGAACCGAAACGCGAAGACCCGGTGAGAATGGGAAGTAAACACTTTTCGGGCGCTTTGCTAGCACTGAGCGGTAGCGAGCTAAACGAAGAGAGACGATCGGTCGATCCAAGCAGGCGTACCAGGGTGGCGGGCTTGGCGGTTCTGAAGGCGGCATTGGGCGGAACGAGGCAGGTGAAGCCGGTGGTAGACGACGAGAGGTAGTCAGTGATCCACTTTTGCATACCTGCAAATAACTCAGAAAAACAGAAATTAGGATGGCTTGCCGGCTTCACTAGAAATCCAGAAGCCAGGATTCCACGTTCACAAGAAGACACAAACATGTGGTGAGATAATCTTACCTGCTTTCTTCACGATGGCAAGGTACGTGCTGTATTTTCCAGACTTTTGAAGAGCCTGGGTGATGAGAGTCCACTGGAGTGTGCCGTCGCGATAGACCTTGGCCTCCGTGGTGAAGCAGGCGCAGGACAGAGCCAGTACGAGCACAGCGATAGGAAGGAGTCGAGCCATTTTTTAGGGAAAGGCAACGGCGGACTTGTGCTGGGAAGGCGAGACACTGAACGCTGAGTCTGGAAGGCTGAAGACTAAATTCGAAGGCTGAAGAGAATGTGATTAGACAAGGAGACGTAGAAGAAGAGAGGCGGCTGGCTGTGTGCTTACAAGAATGAGAACTGGCGGTATTTCTACTCCCTCTCGAAAAAAAAATTCGTGGTCTGGAGCTGGGAGTGACTGCTGTGCAGCTAGGCGTTTCGGAATTTTGGAAGAGCGTGGGAAATCGGTGTCGCGAGGTGAAAATCGCACACAGAATCGTCGGGTCGCATCCCACAGCGATTCAGACTGGGTTGTCGCGCGCCATCTTGAGGGAAAGTCATATCTGAAATTTGCGACTTTCGCCGTACTGCTTGTTCTGTATGTTCAAAACTCGCGCGCCTGCTCAGTCGAGCCGCCTTCACGCCCCGCTGAAATCCAGCCGTTTATGATCAGATAACCCGCGCGTTTTTTCTGTCGCTGTTGCAGGTGTCGTCCATACTGGTAACCACTTGACCAGGAAGAAATACACGAACTTTTGTGCTCAGTAACAGTGTATCCTCGTAAGAAACGCGACGCATCTACATTGAGTCTTTCCTAGAGTAGCATATTATACTGGGTAGCGGGTAGCGAAAATATTTACGACCTCATTATGATCCACTGGTATTAGGTTCTAACACGCATAGACAAAGCATGAGAGAATGCCTGACACTAGTTCCTCACAAGCGATTCCCTAATGAGAAGTTCCGCACAAGCGGTTCCCTAATGAGTCTGCTATTTATCTTCACAGGTCTAAGAGCAGTAGATTTCCAGTAAAGATTTCCCGCAGGCTGAACGAGAAGCTGAGGTACGGCGGCCAACATGGTCTACTAGGGCTGTGTGAGTGGCCTGTAACCCCCAGCATCTTTCATGAAGTATAATGAAGATACCTAGTGCAGGGGAAATGTGATGTGAGTGTGAAATGTGATGTGACTGATGAAGGGATACAATGTAGGGGAGACGGAAGGATGCTGGTGCACTCTAACAAAAGACTGCTCAAAGAGCATAGTGAGCCAAGCCCTTCTTGAGGTTCTGAGGATCCACAGAGTATGTGAGAATCCTTCCGTCCTGCAGACCCACTAAAATACACTCTTCCGGCGCCACATACAGAGATGTCACCGGCACACCCTGCCCGTCAAACCGAACGATTTCTTCCAGAGTGAATATCGACCGCACAACCACGCCGCCGAACGAGCTCCCTCCCGTGACCAGGAACTCGCCACAAACAGTGGTAGCCATGGCTCCGATTCGCTCGCTCACATCTGCAGAAGCCAGCCATTCTCCATTGATAGACGCGGAGTGCAGCAAGAGGTCGGTTTCGGAGTAAGCCACGATGATCCCAGAGGTGGAGACCACTAGGCTGTGCACCGGGCTGCCTCGGGCCGCTCGAGTGCTGCTGCCGCTTTTCCCGCTTGCTGCGGATATGGAACGGGGAGAGCTGACGGGAGAAATGCTGAGAAGACGGCCGCTCGCGCTCGTAGTAAAGGTTTTCTTTGGGGTGGTGCTGCCGGAGGTGTTGCCGCGAAGGGACGAGGAGGAAGAGGAGGTGGAGGGGAGAGCGAGGGAGCGCAAGAAGCGACCGCGGTGGAGAGTGTAGAGGATGATGGTGCCGTCTGTGGATCCGCTAACCACGAGATCGAGCTCTGAGCGGACGGCAACGCACGTCACGGCGTCGTCGTGCCCACACAGAACGAGACGAGGCTTGTCGTACACGACGTGCTCCGGGCGGCTGCGGGCGGTGCGCTCGACTTCCCAGACCATGACTGTGGTGTCGGCACTGCCAGTCACGATTGATGTGCCCTGCGCCGATACTGCCGTGGAAGGCAGTGGGGAACGGGGAACGGGGAACAGGGAGTGGGAGAGGGGAATGGGGAGCAGGGAGTAGGGAGGAGGGAGTGCGGGGCAGGAAACGGGGAGTGGGGAACACATTGAGACGGAGAAATAACTGAAGTTTTGTAGCACGCTGCGTTGGTGTGACAGGGAGTCAGAAAAGGGATGGGAAGGGATGCGTGTGCATTGAAAGATTGAGTTCAAAAGAATGTGGATGGAGGAACGGGAGACACAGGGCCATTTTGAGTTGAGAAGGTTGTGGAGAGGGTGGTACAGGATGGAAAGGGAGGAGAGGGAGGCACATCTTGAACCACCACAGCTGTTGCTGTCACACCGCCACCCCTCACACTGTCACAACGTCCCCCCATCCCACCAACCCCCCATCCCACCAACCCCCCATCCCACCACCACCCCATCCCACCACACCCCCATCCCACCACACCCCCATCCCACCAACCCCCCATCCCCCATCCCACCACCCCACATCCCAACCCTCCACGCACCAGCGAGGCAGGTAACGACGTCATTATGAGCGCGAATGGTGCGCACAACCTTGCCATCGGACAGCGACACGCAGCGGAAGCTGTTATCCCAGTGCCCGCATGTGAGCAGGTACGAGGGCGCGGAGGCAGAGGCTGCCGAGGGCGGCTGTAGGATGTCGAAGCAGTTGGGAGTGGCCTCCACACTGCTGGCGATGGGCGCTCCTATGCGGCGCAGGAAGATGGAATCTCCAAAACCGATGTATGGTTCCTGGTTGGGGGGGAGGAGGAAAGAATGATGAGAGGTTTGGAGTGGTTGTGGGAGGCCTCCAGGCTGCTGGCGATGGGCGCTCCTATGCGGCGCAGGAAGATGGAATCCCCGAAGCCAATGTAGGGCTCCTGGTTGGGGGGTGGAGGGGGGGAGGGAGAGGAGGATGGGGGCGTGGGAGGGGGAGTGGGACGGGGAGCGGAAGGGTGGGAGGAATATAGAGAGTGCAGGAAAGGCGATGGCAGATTAGGTGTGGCTAACGGACTCGAACAAGTAGACATAGGGGGGACGGGGTGGAGGGAATATGGGGAGACATGGTAGGAAACACAGCAGCAGACACACTAGCAGACACGCAGTGAGTCAGACACAAACCACGCAGACAGGCAGACGCACCACAGATCCCGAGAACGTGAAGGAAGCCCCAGATTGTGTGTACGGCGATATCCAGTAGCGCAGCGACAGCAGCTGATTTGCTGTCAGCGTCACACTTTGAGTCGTTTCAAAACTCGCAGTCACATTTCTGAACTCACCACAGATCCTGAAAACGTGAAGGAGGCCCCAGATTGTGTGTACGGCGAGATCCAGTAGCGCAGCGACAGCAGCTGACCAGCAGTCAGCGTCACCGCCTTCCCATCCACCAGTCCCACAAACACCACCGACACATCCCCCTCCCCGGGCTGCCCCGAGCCAGAAGAAGAGAGAGACACACCCAACCCCCCACCCCCTGTCCCTCCTCCTCCTCCGCTCGGGATAGACGTCAGGGCAGAGGAACCACCAGTGGAGGCAGAACCAGAGGCGGAGGAGGAGGCGGAAGAGGAGGTGAGGACGGGAGGAGGGAGTTGCGAGGTGAGTTCGAGGGAGGACGGGGAGAAGAGCAGCGGGCGGAGGATGGGGACGGGGGGGCCTCGGCGAGGGTGCGGCTTGCGGAAGAGCTGCAGGGGCGTCTGGCCGAAGTTGGCGATTTGATCCTCTACTGAGGCTCGCTCAAAGGGGTTGGTGATGGCGTCTAGATCCACAGAGCCCTCGTATGTGAGGTAGTAGAACACGTTGCCCGCCTGGGGGAGGGGGAGGAAAGGAAGATGGGGGGCGGAGGAGAGGTCTCAAAATCACGGAAAGCAATTTGGTCCTCCCTACAGACAGATGTCCCCACAGAGGCTCGATTGAAAACAAAGAAACAATGTGTAGGTCCGAGTAAACAAAGAAACAAAAGAGCCCTTCAGAATGGCCCATGCCCATGCCCATCCCGGTCTTCATCCCCATCCCTATCCCTATCCCTGTCCTTCCCTCAGCTCACGTCAATGGCTTCCTGGCCGCGCTGTCGGAACCCGAAGATGAGGTCAACCCACTCGTGCAGGCGGCTGCTCACATACTCGCACTCCAGGGCCTCCCTGCACTTCCGCACAAACGTCTCAGGGGAGCCCTGGAAGGGGGGGGAAGGAGGCGGGGAGGGAGAGGCAGAGGAAGGAGGCGGGGGGGAGCAGGGTGAGTGGGGCGGGGTTGAGGGGAGCAAACAAGAGGCGGCGGCTGCTCACATTCTCGCACTCCAGGGCCTCCCTGCACTTCCGCACAAACGTCTCGGGGGAGCCCCGAGGAAGAGGGGAGAGGGGCGGGGAAGGAGGCGCGGGGAAGGAAGTGCGGAGCGGCGAGGGGGAGGGGCGGGGGGAAGGTTGACGCAGAAGAAGAGGAGGAAGCAGCTGCTCACATACTCGCACTCCAGGCCCTCCCTGCGATGTTAGGAGGAAGCGATGGTAAGGGAGGCGCACTCCAGGCCCTCCCTGCGCCTCCCTTACCATCGCTTTGCGCCTCCATTGGCCATTCTCAACTATCCTCATCTCTTCTCGTTTCCCTCACCTCGCTCCACCTTCTCGCCCCATCCTCCTTCCACCTCCCCCCCTCCCCCCTCACCTTGGCCCAGGGCGGCAGGGCAGCACCACATCCCCCAGCGCATGCCCCCTACCTCCCTCTGCTAAAAAACCCCACATCACCTTCCCCTGCCTACCACCTCCCTCCCCTTCCAACCCCCCCCCTCCCCCCTCACCTTGGCCTAGGGCGGCAGCACCACACGGAAATGAGCTCCTCCCCTCACCATGCCCATCTCTTGAAAATCGTGCACCTCCTCACCTCGCTCACCCCCTCACCTCGCTCACCCCTCTTGCCTCACCTCCCTCCTTCACCTCCCCCCTCTCCCATCCTCCCCCTTCCACCTCCCCCCTTCTTCTTCCCCTTTTTCTCACCTTGGCCCAGGGCGGCAGCACCACATCCCCCAGCGCATGCCCGTCCTGCCGCACGCCGAGGAAGTATGTGTTCTTGTTCACCAGGAACTCGGGGTAGTAGTAGAACTCGGGAATGAGCTCCTTCACGTCGCTGGTGTTGGACAGGCAGTTGGCCCACGCTGATGCCACCGAGTGGAAGAGCCTATCCGCATGGTCAAACTTACCGCCCTGGGGAGGGGAGGGAGAGGAGGGAGGAGAGGGGAGGGACGGGAGAGGAGTAGACGAGCAAGAGTAGTGGGAGAAGGACGGCGGGTTAGGAGGGATAGAAGCACATAGTGACACACAGAGGCACCAGTGCACCCACACGCACGCACACACAGAGGCAGACATAGAGGCAGACATACCAACACAACACGCACGCACCTGCAGCGAGACGTTGAGTGTGGCGAAGGGCTCCATGCGCAGCAGGAAGAAGAGCACAATGCCGGCCGTGGAGTAGTGCGACCCGTAGAAGAAGCTCGGGATGTCCGGATCCGCAAACCCGTGGTACCGGTCTTCAAACATCTGCCAGGTGGGGTGTGGTGGAGTGGGATGGGGTGCAGTGAGGTGGGGTGGTGTGGAGATAAGCGGAGAACCAACATTGAAGAACCAGGGATGCCCGGGATGGGAGGGACAGGAGGCGAAACAGTGCTGAAAACCACTGTGGCTGGGCAGGCAGTGTGTAACAATACCCCTCCCTCCCCCCCTCACCTGGAACCTCTTCTCATCGAGAGCACCAATGGGCTTCGACAGATCCCTGAACGTGTCCGGGTTGTTCAAATCCAGCTCCTCCGAGGTATAATCCGCAATCACCCACGGAAACACAGGGTATTGCATGAGATCATTGTACGATCGCCCTGCGAGCGTGTTCAGCACCATGAGATACTCAAAGTTACACATGTCTCTCCTCCTCCACGCAGCCTTGGCCCTCTCTGCAAGATCCAACGCCCTCCTCTTATCCACCAGTAAAACCCCGTCCCAGATGCTCCCTCCCACGCCCGCGCCCCCACCTCCTCCCCCTGCCCCGCCTCCGCCTGAGCTGCTCCTATCCCTGTCCCCGCCTCTGTTCCTCTGAATCACATGGGTCAGATTCGCCAGGCGTGTGGCCACGTCCTTAGCATTAACCACCGAGGAGAAATTCAGGAACACAGGCGCGTAGGACGAGGCGAAGAAGATTTCAACCGCAGAGAACCGCAGCAGATACCTCGTGATGTGGATACGCTTCACAACAGCCAGAGGCCACCGCCTGTGCTTCTTCACATCATTGTGAAAATCCACATTCTTCTGGTTGCTTGTCACCAGTTGCTCTAGCAGCTTTCCGGAGGAGCTTCGCGGGGAGAGTAGCGCCAGCTTGGTATGCAGCCGCCGCCAACGAGACGCCGTGCTGGGAGTCGCAGGGACCGACCCGCTGCTGCTGCTCGTGCTGCTGCTGCTTCCCGTGATCATCCCCCCTGTGGGGGTTACCGGCGAGTTCGTCGCTCCGGATCCCCCTCCTGAGCCGATCCCTGTGACGGAAATCGAAAGAGGGGTTTCGGGTACTGCGGGTGCAGGAGCAGTGGTGGCGGAAGCAGAGGAGGCAGAAGAGGGGCCAGATGCCCCAGTTGCTGTTGCAGCAGACGCAGCCGCAGCAGAAGCAGCCGCGGTTGCCGTCGCGGCCGTGTCGTGTCTGAGCTGCCCGTTCTGATCAAACACAGACGCGCTCCCATTCCCTTCCACCACAAACTCCGTGTGGAAATGCACGACTGTCCTCATAATCTCCAGCCTCCCAGCCAGCTTCCGTTTCGCAGTCACCAACACACAGGGCACAGACATGAGCACCACATCATCTGCCGGCTCATCTGTCGACATCTCATCGCCCAAACCCTCCTCGAATTTGTTCACCTTAGGAGATCCCGCCTCCTCCTGCTCTCTCACAGCCGCTTCCTCCATTGCATCGTTCTCCACATGGGCCTCCTCTGCGGCTGCTTCTAACTGTGCCTGCACTCCTCTCAGCCCCTTCAGCAGCAGCACCGCCTGCGCCGCCGCCGTCTGCGCGGGCGTTTTCGTCGCAGCAGTCAGCGGAGAGTTCAAGTACCCGGCGCCGCCGCCGAGAGGCGAGAGAAGCATGGGGGACGCAGCGCCGCTGTTGGGGGACTTGACAGAGGAGGGGGACGCGAGAGCGGAGGAGGTAGTGGAGGCGGAGGAGGCGGGCGTGCAGAGCACGGGGTTGAAGCGGTAGTTGGGGCGCAGGCGGAAGCGGCGGCGGATAGGGTCCTCCATCTTGTCGAGCTTCCAGCGTGCGGGCGCGTCTGTGGGCAGGCGCCCGGGCGACCACGCTCCGCGCTCGTTTGTCAGATCCCGGAACAGCTGGTTCCACCGGCCCTGGAGTAGACAGGAGGGGTAGGGAGGCGGTGTCAACAGGGCGGAAGAGGAGAGGAGAGGAGGGGCAACTTTAAGATGTTTTGAACTTGCCTGTTCCGGGCGCGGAAAAAACGCTTCAAAGAAGAGAAAAGCCTTACAAGTGATGGAAAGTGCTGCCAGCAAGGGACAGCTCCGCAAGCAAGCAGGCAGGCAAGGGGCACTCACAGCCAGGAACTGCTGCTCCTCCTCGTAGCCCACGCGGACCGTGGCGCGCCTCTTGCTCTCCTCCGTAGTCAGCTCTGTGAGAATGGCGCGCCTGTGCTCCTCCATGGCCTCCAGTAGCTCCCTCTCCACGGCCTCCCTCTCCCCCACCTCGCCCCGCAGTGCCTCGGGGGCCTGCATGCGCCGCTCTCCTATCACCTCCACCAACGCCTCCTCCTCCTTCAGCTGCGGTGGGGAGAGAGGGGACGGGATAGGGGAAAGGACAAGGGGAGAGAGAGAGAGAGGGAGGAAGGGTTTGGGTGAGAGTCAACACGAAGCATGGTTCTTTCCAACTCTCCTATCACCTCCACCAACGCCTCCTCCTCCTTCAGCTGCGGTGAGGAGAGAGGGGACGGGGGAGAGGACAGGGGGGAAGGAATAGGGAAGTGAACAGGGGACAGAAACTTGGGGAGAGGGGGCAAGGTATAAGGGAGAGAAGGTTTGGGAAATGGGAGGACAGGGAGTTTGAGTCAACAGAAAAGCAAACCCTCCCCCACTCACCGCCTTCCCCACTCACCCTCTCCTCCATCACCTCCCCCATCACCTCCTCCATCACCTCTCCCATCACCCCCCCCACTCACCGCCTCCTGCACTCGATCCTGCTGCAGCAGGCTGTACAAAGAGAAATCCCCCACGCTTTCACCACCTCCCCCTCACCCCTTCCACCACTCACCGCCTCCTGCACTCGATCCTGCTGCAGCAGGCTGTAAACTGAGAAATCCCCCACGCTGCCCCCACCGCCCGGCCTCCTCTCCGCAATGGAAGCCACGAGCACAGACTTTGCTCTCTCCACCACTTCGCGGATCAATTGCGATGCTATGTGCTGCCTCGCGCCCGCCTCCCTCCCTGCCTCCCGCGCTGCTAGCCGGTCCCGAGCCTGCTGCTCCAGCTTCTCCCGAGCCTGGACGAGAGCCCTGGAAGGGGAGTAGAGGGAGGAGGAAGGGCAGGGGAGGGGAGGAGGGAGGGTGGAGAGAGGGAAGGGGAAGGGGAGAAGAGGAAAGGGAGGAACGCGACGAACAAAGAGTAGGGTTTAGAAGAGTAAGCACACACACATACCTCTGCTGGAAATACGCCACCTTCTCCATCCAAACCCAAACCAGCAGCAGAGCAGCTCACCAGAGGAAGAGGTGCAGGTGGTTTCTGAGCGAGGTGGTATCCGCACACGAGTGCAGCAGCGCGGGCAGGATCAGAGCAAACTGCTGCATGCACTGAGACGTAGCCTCCAGCTCCGCATCGTACAAATAAAACAGCACCAGCCGAAACGCCACATGCAAACAGTGCTCATTCCTCTGCCTCGTCGCCTTATCCCCCGGCCCCGACGCGCCCCTCCCCCCGTCCGCACCCCCCCCACCAGACCCCACCAGAGCCAGCCCTGTCCTGCTGATTCCAGCGAGGGAGAAATAGCTCATGGCCTGCTGCTGCTGCTGCTCGAGTTGGGCCTGGGAGTAGGCAGAGGCGGAGGGGTCTTGAGCGCCGGAGAGCACTGAGAAGGAGGCCCACACGCGGTCGAACAGGCGCCAGCGCGCTGCTGCCTCGTCCGGAGGGAGCTCTGGGCGCTGGTAGCGCTGCTGCGGTCGCTGGATGTCAGGGAACGTGCTCCTGGGGGAGGGGGAGACGGGGGGGCGAGGGGGGGCAGAGGAAGGGTGAGGCGAGGGAGAGGGGGGGGGGGATGGCGGGAGAGGGAGGAGAAAAAGGGGTGGAGGTGGTGGTAGTGCTGCTGATGTGCTGTGGTTGGTGGATACCAGAGCAACAGACAAAAAGCTGTGCACCAGGGAGTGGGCTGTGAGATCGAGGAGAGAAGGGATGGAGATGGGATACGGCGGCAACTAGACAGTACGGCAGACAAGACAGACGGGAGGGCACGGGACTGGAAAGAAAGAGATAGAGCGGGATGAAGGGAGAAGGTAGAGAGGGAATGCGAACTCAGGATACATGTCACCTGACAGACAGGTTTGGGGAGGGTCATCTAAGCGGTTAAGAGGGTCACCTGAGCGGTTGGGAGGATCCGAGGTCCACATAGCCCCCTGACAAGGTCTCCTCCTCCATCAACTCGTCCTGTTGAGATGGCACAGATTGGGACACCACAGGGCACGACAAGACACGAAACAAGTGTGGGGCACACATGGACATGCACACATGAGGGCGAGTAAAAGGCGAGAAAAGGGGGGGAGGGGGGGGGGGGGGCGTAAGAGGAAGTAGGGAAATGGTTGGAGAGGAAAGCGAAGGCGTTAGTGGACGGAAAATAAGGGGGCGAGGGGGTTTGCGGAAATTGAGAAGGTGGGGTCGGGCAGAGGGGTGGGGGGTAAGGGCGGGAAGGGGAGGAAGGGAGCGGGGAGGGTGTGGTGATGATGGGGAGATGAGGAAAGGCGGAGGGCAGTTGGTTAAGAAAGAGAGTACGGACAAGAGTTGAGAGCAGCTAAAACAGTTCCCACTATTCCCATATGCCAAACCCCCAGTGCATCAACCGCCAAAACCCTCCCGCACCACACCCAACCCAGCAACTCCGCACACCATGCCCAACAGCCCAACCCAAGCCCACCCATTCCCACCGCATTGCACCACACAGCACCTGGAAGAGTTGGCGGGAGTCGTCAACAGTGCACTCATCAAGCAGAGTGAGGAGGAGGGAGAAGTTATCCCGGAGGGGAACGGCGTTCATGGTGTCCTCTGAGGGGCACAGCACACAGAGCGCCTCAAACACGTCTGCTAACACCCGCTTCGTCCACACCGACGCCTGTTGGGGAAGGGAGGGAAGAGGGGGAGAGGGGCGAGGGAAAGGAGAGGGGGAGACGGGTGGGCAAGAGGGGCGGGCGAGAGGAGAGGGGGAGAGGGGCGGGGGAGAGGGGCAGGGTAGAGGAGAGGAGATGGGGAGAGGACAATAGAGAGGCAGAGTAAGAAGAGAGCAGGGAGACGGGAGGAGCGAGGGGGGAGAGAGGAGGGAGAGGAAGTGGAAGAGAGAAAGAAGAGAGGAGGAAGAGAGGGGAAAGAGAGGAGGAAAAGATGAGGAGGAAAGGTGGAAAAGATGAGGAGGAGAGGAGGAAGAGAGGAGGGGGGAATAGCATGGGAATGGATAGGAGCAGGAGCGAGCAGCAACATGCCTGAGAGCAAGGAGAAGAGAGCAGATGGTATCACTAATAATACAGTTCACTTCCAGAAATGCGCCTCAGAATTCATCGTCGTACCTGGTCAGGGCAGGGCACAGGATTCAACGCACCTGGTCAGGGCACAGCAGCTGGATATAGGTGATGGTGGTGGTGACGTGCTCTGCGCCATTCTTGAAATTAATCAGCGCATGTGCATGCAGGCACGCAAAGAGCTGCCAGATCAACTGCTCCTCCTCGCTCTCCCCCTCCATCTCCTCCTCCTCCTCCAACATCCCCGCCTCATACTCATCTAAATCCAAGTCCTCCTCTAGGATCACCCCCGAGTCCTCCCCTTCGCCACCCATCCCCATCCCGTCCCGCTGCCCGCTCGTCACCGCGAGCAGCACCATCAGCAGCCAGTCCTGCCACCCAACCTGCTGCAGAAACACGCTCATATTCGAATCATCTGAATCCAGCAGAACGAGCAGATCGCGGAGGACAGCCGTGCGGAGATCAGGCGTGCAGGCGCGTAGTAAGCGCAGGACCACTCGTAAGACCTGGGGGACTACCATGATGGCTACGACACCGCTGCTGCTCCCCCCGGCTTCTAGGAGTGCTGTGCCTGCTGAGTCCCGCAGGCCTTCCTGGAAGCGTCCTAGCCCGCTCTTGTAGAGGTTGGACCACTTGCGCATGGCCTGGTGGTGGTCGGCAGGGGATGGGGAAAGAGGGAAGAGGAGGGGGTGGGAAGGCTTTGGTTGGGAGTGACGCATTCTACGACTGCTGTGCCTGCTGAGTCCCGCAGGCCTTTTTGGAAGCGTCCTAGCCCGCTCTTGTAGAGGTTGGACCACTTGCGCATGGCCTGGTGGTGGTCGGCAGGGGATGGGGAAAGAGGGAAGAGGAGGGGGTGGGAAGGCTTTGGTTGGGAGTGACGCATTCTACGACTGCTGTGCCTGTTGAGTCCCGCATGCCTTTTTGGAAGCGTCCTAGCCCGCTCTTGTAGAGGTTGGACCACTTGCGCATGGCCTGGTGGTTGGGTGGGGGAAGGCCGGGGGACAGGGGGAGAGAGGAAAAAGTAAATGAATGAGAAACTCGCACAGAACGGAGCCCGGTCATGGCAAGTGTAAAACCAGATAGACAAAGTCCCACAAAACGTTGATGGGAGCAGGACGCGACAGGGGGTTGTGAAGGGGGGGTGGGGGAGGGGAGTTGGGAAAGAGGGGACATGCAGAGGAATGCCAAACAGCTGACTGGGTGCTGACCTCTTTAGAGCTCGCTCCCCCCAGCAGCACGTCAAACAGCGCAGCTCGAGTAGCCGGCGAGAAGGGAAACGCAGAGAGCGACGACTCCACATGCGTCCACAGCGTGCGAGCATACGACTCCTCCATCGCCGCAGGCTCGCCCCCTCCCGCACTCTCAAACGCCTCCCTCCCCGTGCTCGACGCCCACGCGTACGCATCTGCTCCCGACCGCCGATCCGTGGGCGTTGCACTGAAGATAGTGCCGAGGAGACGCAGACCGAGGAGCCGCACGCCTTCGAGAGAGCGGGTCATGAGGGAGAGGAAGATGTGGCAGCCTCCGATGGAATGCACGTGGGAGAGGACGGAGGAGAGGCAGGGGGTGCGGCCGAGGAGACCCAGCATGCAGTGTAACACATCCTCCATCGCTACTATATCCTTGCTCGTTTCCAGATACGCCACCACGGCTTTTACTTCTGGCAGGGAGAGTCCGTCTCGAATGACCCGGTCCGCTAGCCCGAGCACGAGCAAGCGAAGCTTCGCGATTTCGGCCGAGCTGGGACGAACAGCGATGACGGAGCGGGTGACGGGGTGCACGAGGGGGCGCGTGCCGATGGCGTGCGGGCCCTGCGCCTTCTCCCAGTAGAACTGCCGCACCATGTCGAGGAGCCGTTGGAGCGTGCAGAAGGCGCGGAGACGCGCCGGCTCTCCTTCCTTCTCTAGGAGTCGCAGCAGGGAGGTGTACAGCTCGTGCTGCACAGCGTATGAGGTGTAAATCCAGACCATCGGATCGAGATACAGCCGGCAGATGGCATCGACGGTGAGGATTTCAGCGAGGCCCTGATCTGTCCCCCGCTCGTGGGAGATACATCCGACGAGATTCTCCATCGCGAGAACGAATTTCACCGAGAGATGCTGCGGGGACACGCGCTGCAGGAGGAAGTTAATCACTCCGAACCCGTGCGCGGAGAGCATGTACTGCTGGCTCGTGCGGTTCCCGGCGAGCACCGCCGTGAGTAGCCCGATCACGTCGAGGGCTAGATGCGGGTCGACGCCCGCGGGAGGCTCGTCTTTGAAGCGGGAGGAGCGCTGCGGCTGGTGCTGGCCTTCCACGGGTTGGTCCAGCTGGGTGAAGAGCGGGAAGAGGACTGCTATGCCTCCGACACAGTTGATCACGTCTTGCACGCGCTGCCGCGAGCACAGCTGCACGCCCGGCATGATGGCTGCCGTGTCGCAGAGAGGCGCGTCGGAGGGCGCGTCGAGGATGGGCGCTGTGTTGAATATGGTGCGGCCCTGGCTTGCCTGGGGTAGGGAGGGAGAGGGGGGAGGAGGTGAGTAGGGAAAGAGAGGGGGAAGGGGCGTCAGGGGAGTGAGGTGACAGAACATGGGAATGGGTGAGTAGAGGTAGCATGAATACACAGAAAGACTACCAAATGCAGGGGGCTCACAAACCACCACACTGCGACTCAGTGGTCGCATCTCAACAGCACGCACCTGTGCATTGAAGCTCGCGACAATCTTAGCGGACAGCCCATCCTTCGAATCCGACAGAATCTGCGCCGCAGGACCCTCCTTGGGCAGCCCGGATTCCCCGGGCAGAAACGAATACATGTACCCAGGACCCAGGAGGTAGATCCCCTCCACTTGAGAGGACACGAGAGCATCCTCAAAGAGGTATATGGGGCCGATCTGGCCGCGGAAAGCAGCGGAGCGGCGGGGGGGAGGGGGCGCGTGCATGGGCATGCGGAGGGCGAGAACGGGGTCTTCTGGTAGAGGCACGGCGGCAGCTATAGTGCATTCTACCAGCGGGTCGTAGATCTTGGGGTAGCTGCATGGGTGGGTGGATGGGTGTACAGGGGAGGGGAGGGGGGACAATTGAGAGGGTGGAATGGGGAGAAGGTGGACTCCAGGCAGCGGCTATAGTGCACTCTACCAACGGGTCGTGGATCTTGGGGTAGCTGCATGGATGGGTGGATGGGTGGGCGTGCAGGGGAGGGGAGGGAGGACGAGGTGGGTTGAGGGGGTGGGATGGGGAGGGTTGGACTCCACGGCGGCGGCTATAGTGCATTCTACTAGTGGGTCGTGGATCTTGGGGTAGCTGCATGGGCGGATGGATGGACGGTTTGGGGGGGAGTGGGGTGGAGAGGAGTGGGGAGGGGTTGGGGGGTGTGGGGAGGGGCGAGGAAGGGATGGGCAGATTGAGTTGCTTCTTAGGTTGCAGGATTGGAAAGGAAGGAGAAAAGAGATGAGATGAAAAGAGATTATGTGAGACGCAGGCACCATGCCATCACCATGCCATCACCAAGCCATCACCACGCATTTCCCATGCAGAATGCATGCGGCCGGTCTCAATGAGCATGCCATCCACAATGGGGCGCAGCGTGGCGGCGGTGGCAAAGGTAGTGAACGGCGAGACGCTCACACTTTGCACGCACCATGCAAATCAGTGTTCCCTCCACACCTCTCTTTCTCCCAGACCCCCACTATCTCACACTCCCTCCCCCCCTTACCCCATGCGGCCGGTCTCGATGAGTTTGCCGTCCACGAAGAGGCGCAGCGTGGCAGCGGTGGCAAAGTTAGCGAGTGGTGAGACGCCTACAGTTTGCACACCATGCAAATCAGTGTCTCCCTCCCTCTGTCTCGATCCCACTATCCCTCTATCCCCCTTACCCCATGCGGCCGGTCTCGATGAGCTTCCCGTCCACAAAGAGGCGCAGCGTGGCGGCGGTGGCAAAGGTAGCCACGGAGTGTGAGATGGCGATGTGGTACCAGCGCTTGGCATGGAAGGGGTAGTTGAATATGAACTCCGGCTCCCTGCCCCCACTGCCCACCGGCACCTACGTGATGGGAGAATAGATGGGAGGAGAAGGGAGCGAGGGAGAAGGGAGAGAGGGGGGAGGGGGAGAAGAAGGGGAGAGGCGAGGGATAAGCGGAGAGGGGGAGACGGGAGGAGGCTGTGGGGGAAACGAGCAGCAGGGGAGAAGCGGGTGGGAGGGAGGAGGCAGTCACGGGGATGAGGGACAGGCGACACAGTGTGAGATGGCGATGTGGTACCAGCGCTTGAGACGTCTCAAAACCACTCTTCTTTCACAAAGCGAGTGGGAGGGGGGGCGCAGTCATGAGGATGAGGAACAGGACAGGCAACACAGTGTGAGATGGCGATGTGGTACCAGCGCTTGGCATGGACGATAATAGCTGATCAACCTAATAGATCAAGTCAAACCTCACTCACCCCCCTCATCAGCCCAACCTCACCCCCCTCACCCTCTCACCATTCTCACGCTCTCCCTCCCCCACCCCTCGCCCCTCCACCATTCCCCCATTCCTTCTTCCCCCTTCCCCCTTCCCCCTCACCTGCACAATAAGACTGCTTGGGCTGATAAGCGCACTGCACCCCCTCTTGAACTCTGTCATAAACCGGAACAGTCCCATCGCCCCATCATACGGCCCATCCACCACCGTCCCTCCTGCCCCCTCTCCCCCACCTCCCCCCACTCCCCCACCCCCTGCTCCCCCCCCAGGCTTCCCCCCTTTCCCCGCATCCCCGCTCGTGCTCGAAACAACAGTCGCCGGAAACGCCTCAACTCGCAGCCAGCAGCAAAACGTATACCCTCGCGCCGTCGGAAACCGGAACGGCCGCGCCGCCGCATCAATCCCCGAGTTCTTCCCATTCAACTCAAAAAACACCGGCGGCCCATCGTCCTTCACGAGAGCCTGCAGCGTGCGAATCAGCAGCGTGGCGTGCCTTGGCCGGCACCCATCCTTGGTGCTTCTCAGCAGCGAGAAGATCGCGCTCATATCCTTCCCTCCGATGCTGTGCCCTCCGACCGCCTCCAACAACCGGCCGATTTGAGCGAGGGTGTTGTCGTCTTGGACTTCGGGCATCCAGTTTAGGAGCAGCCACATGAGGCCCGCTCGCACGCAGGAGGCGCAGTTGGCAGTGGAGGAGGCCACCAGGCCTTCCAGGGTTTCCAGGCCCTCGCCTACTAGGTGCCCGTCCGCCTTGCGGAGGAGGGAGATGAAGAGCACCACTGCATCCTCGTTCTGGCGGTGGAGGGAGAGGGGCAGGGAGGGGTGACATAGGGGGGAAAGGGAGCGGAGAGGGAGGGGGTTTTCAAACCTTCGCCCACGAGGTGCCCGTCTGCCTTGCGGAGGAGGGATATGAAGAGCACCACTGCATCCTCATTCTGACGGTGGAGGGAGAGGGGCAGGGAGGGGTGACATAGGGGGGAAAGGGAGCGGAGAGGGAGGGGGTTTTCAAACCTTCGCCCACGAGGTGCCCGTCTGCCTTGCGGAGGAGGGATATGAAGAGCACCACTGCATCCTCATTCTGACGGTGGAGGGAGAGGGGCAGGGAGGGGTGACATAGGGGGGAAAGGGAGCGGAGAGGGAGGGGGTTTTCAAACCTTCGCCCACGAGGTGCCCGTCTGCCTTGCGGAGGAGGGATATGAAGAGCACCACTGCATCCTCATTCTGACGGTGGAGGGAGAGGGGCAGGGAGGGGTGACATAGGGGGGAAAGGGAGCGGAGAGGGAGGGGGTTTTCAAACCTTCGCCCACGAGGTGCCCGTCTGCCTTGCGGAGGAGGGATATGAAGAGCACCACTGCATCCTCATTCTGACGGTGGAGGGAGAGGGGCAGGGAGGGGTGACATAGGGGGGAAAGGGAGCGGAGAGGGAGGGGGTTTTCAAACCTTCGCCCACGAGGTGCCCGTCTGCCTTGCGGAGGAGGGATATGAAGAGCACCACTGCATCCTCATTCTGACGGTGGAGGGAGAGGGGCAGGGAGGGGTGACATAGGGGGGAAAGGGAGCGGAGAGGGAGGGGGTTTTCAAACCTTCGCCCACGAGGTGCCCGTCTGCCTTGCGGAGGAGGGATATGAAGAGCACCACTGCATCCTCATTCTGACGGTGGAGGGAGAGGGGCAGGGAGGGGTGACATAGGGGGGAAAGGGAGCGGAGAGGGAGGGGGTTTTCAAACCTTCGCCCACGAGGTGCCTGTCTGCCTTGCGGAGGAGGGATATGAAGAGCACCACTGCATCCTCATTCTGACGGTGGGGGGAGGAGAGGGGGCAGGGAGGGGTGACATGGATAGGGGGGAAAGGGAGGGAGGGAGAAGGAGAGCGGAGGGCAGGTGCTTTGAAATGAATAAAGATCACCACCGCATCCTCGTTATGAACGGATGTGGAAAGGAATATGGGTGAAAAGAGGAGCAACGCGGATCCCCACTTCCCTGTCTCCCTCCCTCCTCTCTCACCTGTATGAGCATGTTGGTTCTGGGAGCAAAGCTCCCATCCACTACGAAATCCATGACGCACAACAACAGCTGCCCCGTGGGCCGGCCCCGGTACTGCTCCAGCAGCATCTGCGACAGCCGCGCATACCCCGGGTCTCCCAGCCGCCTCACAACTCCCTCCTCATGACAACCCATTGCGTCCCCCTCCTGTTGACACACCCCACACACAAACACAGACGCAAAGCACCCCCCTACCCACCCTCCTTTTCCTCCCTTCCCTCCTTTCCCCCCCTCACCTTCCCCTTCCCCCGGCCGCCCTCCTCTCTCACCTGAATGAGCATGTTGGTGCGGGGAGCGAAGCTCCCATCCACGACAAAGTCCATGACGCACAGCAGCAGCTGCCCTGTGGGCCGCCCTCTGTACTGCTCCAGCAGCATCTGGGACAGCCGCGCATACCCCGGGTCGCCCAGGCGCCTCATGACTGCTTTGGCGGTGTCGTTCCCGGCAAGCAGGCGCGTGAGCGTGCGCAGGACCTGCAGGGCGAGCTGCTGCCCGTCTGCTGGCTGGTAGGTGCCGTTGAGGAGCGAGAGCAGATGCAGCCCGCACTGCGCGTCCAGAAACAACTCTTGGAAACGCTGCAAGGGGGGAAATGCGGGGGGGAGGGGTGTGGGGTGTGAAAAGGACGACACGGGAGGAAAGGGGGAGCGGGGAACAGGAAAGGGGGGAGGGGGAAGGGGTGGGAGAATGGGAGAAAGAAGTGGGGGAGGGTCGGGCGAGGAGGGAGTTTTGACTTGACCACGTGGACCAGGTGGGCGCCAGTAATATCGCCTAGTTGGAGAGGCAGGAGTGCATGTGACGATGAAACCGAGCAGCACAGCGAGGGGAGGCGGGAGGAGGAGGAAGCAGTGCGAGCGGAGGAGAGAGCAGGAAGCACAGTGGTGGGCTGGCTCCTCACAGGAGGGTCGAAGTCGACGATGTGGCGGAGGGCAGTGAGAAGGTTATCAGATGTGTCAGAACAGACCTCTTATCACGGCACGGAGCATAGAGCAGGAGGAGCGGAGAGCAGGAGGAGCGGAGAGCAGGAGGAGCGGAGAGCAGGAGGAGCGGAGAGCAGGAGGAGCGGAGAGCAGAAAACAAGGGGAGCGAGTGGGCTCACAGGAGGGTCGAAGTCGACGATGTGGCGGAGGGCAGTGAGGAGGTCAGCGAGAACAGCGACCCCGTGCGTGTGGCTGTCGCCCTTGGCGTGCGCAAACGCCTCCATCAGCCGTGATACAAACACCGTGCCCTCCCCCGCTGCATCCGCCTCCGATACCTGCCGAGGGAGATAGGGGTGTGATTGGGGAGGCAAGGGGGGGGGAGGAGGAAGAGAAAGGGAGGGGCAGGGAGGAGAAGTGAGATAGGGGGTTGAGGAAGACTTACACACCGTGTCCGCCAGCACAGCACCTTCTGAGTTTGTCGACTCGACTAACAAGCAAAGAGCCTCACATACGCACACACCTTGATGAGGGAGATGACAAGGCGAGGCGCAGAGCCCCTTGTCTTCTGCTTGAACGCTGTGTCCGCCAGGGCAACACCTTTTCCCAGTCGACTCGACTCAACTCGACCAAGAAGCAATGAACCCACACGCATGCACGTATGCACGCGCACACAGACACACACATACACATACACACTGCACGCACCTTGATGAGCGAAATGACGAGACGGAGAGCCATCTAGCGTGTCTTTTGCTCCACCACCAGCTTGATCTGAACACCCTGTCCGCTAGAGCAGCGCCTTGTCCCTGCCGACTCGACACGACCAACAACGAGCCACACACACGCACACATGCACACACCGCACGCACCTTGATGAGCGAGATGACAAGGCGCAGGGCCATGGACCGGGTCTTCTGCTCCACCACGAGCTTGAACACCGTGTCTGTTAGAGCAGCACAGTCGACTCGACTAACAAGCAAAGAGCCCCATACGCATGCACGCGCACAAGCACACGCACACAGACACACACACATGCACACCTTGATGAGCGAGATGACGAGACGGAGAGCCATGGACCGGGTCTTCTGCTCCACCACGAGCTTGAACACCGTGTCCGCCAGAGCAGCGCTGCGTGACGCTGCTCGCACCACCGTGGTGGACGATCCTAACAGCGCCTCCAGCAGAGTGAATATCGCCATGCGCACATTCCACGGCACCTCACTCGGCGCCTTGCTGCTGCTGCCGCCGCCGCCGCCGCCGGTGTTGCTGCTGCTGCTGATGGCGCCGCTGCTGCTGCTGCTGGTGAGGGTGGTGTTGGAGTCACCTGGCCGGCTACTGTCCGCAGCATTGGCGCTGCTGCTTCGCTCCACCGCCCCGCCTCTTCCTCCTCCTCCGCCTCCTCCGAATCTCTGCATGCTGCTCCCAGGAGCAGCACTGAGACCGGAACCGGAACCAGCACCAAACGCACCAGAAGAAGCAGCAGAAGAGCCAGCGGCCCCAGTGCCCCCCTCGCTGCCTGCCCCTCCTGCTGCGTCCCCTGAAGCTTGTGGCATGGAGGGCGGGAGGGGCAGTGCGGACGAGGAAGAGCCGCGTCTAGATGGGGGGAGAGGGAGAAGCGAGCTTCCACCTCCTCCTCCTCCTCCTCCTCCTCCTCCTCCTCCTCCTCCTCCTCCTCCTCCTCCTCCAGACCCACTCGCTCCAAACCCACCTCCGCCTTGATTACCACCACCACCAGCTGCACCAGCAGCAGCAGTGCCACCAGCAGCACTTGTCGTTCCGCCTCCTCCACCCGTAATCCTTCCTTCCGAAGAGTGAGATCCGAGAAGAGGGGACGTGGGGCGGGGAAGGTGGTGGTGCTGATGATGATGATGATGCGAACCCCCACCACCACCGCTACTACCAGATGATGAGACAACACCGCCACTCCCACTACCACAACCACCACCTCCCATAGGGGCGAACGAGAACGGGAGGGAGGTGGGTGGAGCAGTGGCAGCAGCAGCAGCAGCGGGGCGGTAATGCTGCTGACGTGTCATGATTGCAGCGATGGTGGCGAGCGCATCGACGGCTATGATCGCTTCGACAAAGAGATCGCCCACGATCTGCTGCAGGCGCTGGAAGCAGCGTGCCAGCATGACACACGCCGAGGCGCATATGGCAGCTTGCCTCAGTGCTGTTAGCAGCGCTGCACACTCAGGCTGCAACCACCAGGGAGGGGACAGGGGGGGAGGGGAAAGGGAGGACTTTCTTTTTTGAGGAGCCAGAAAGCAGACTGCTGAAGGCGCTGGAAGCAGCGCACCAGCATGACACACGCCAAGGCGCATATGGCAGCTTGCCTCAGTGCTTTCAGCAGCGCCGCACACTCAGGCTGCAGTGGTCAAATCAGGTAACGATCAGGAGAGGGACGGATAAAAGGAACAGAGGGGATGGTGGCGTAGTGAGGAGATAGAGGCACAGGGAAACCTGAGGTTCGGGCATCTGAAAACCCAGCCAGTAATTAAAGATTAACCACAACCAGGAAGAGGGTCTTGAAGGTTATCCAAACCCACCGGGAACAGGCAAACCACTCACCTCCACATTTGCCAACCCATCAAGCGACGCGGCAACTTCCAGGAAAGCCACCACGTTCATCCGCAGCGTCTCGGCATCCGTACTCTCCCCCACTGCCACATACTCAAGCGCTCCGTCCGCTCCCCCTCCCCCTCCCCCTCCGCCCAACCCTCCCTCACCCCCGCCCCTCACATCCAACCCAAACGGGTGCAAGAGAGGGGAAAGCATTCTACTACCAGCCACATTCGCAGCGGCCACACCATGAGGATCAACCGCAAAGATAGACGGAGAGTTAGGCCGGGAGGTGGACTTGGTGCCTGAGGAAGGGGGGAGGTTTGGGGAGGCGAGGCGGCGAAGAGCCCGTGCGGCTACGGTACCCACGCCACCTGCTGCTGCCATGGCTGCTCCTGTGAACTCCTCAAACTTGCTCGCCTCGTAACTGCTGGAAGTGCTGGGAGACTTGCGCATGCGCGGCCGGCGATCGCCCGCAGCTGCAGGACCAGCAGCGGCACCACCACCAGAGGCTGCTGCTGCGGCGGCGGCGGCAGAGGCGGCAGCGATGGCAGCGGCTGCGGCGGCTGCTCCTGCAGATCTGGAAGCAGCGCTGCTGGCGCCGCCGCCGCTGCTGCCGCCAGTGCTGGTGTCGTAAGCAGCAATGGCTGCGGCTGCTGCGGTCTCGAGAGAGGAAGAGCTGGATGTGCTGGGGGATTTGAACAGACGAGGTCTGGGACGAGCCGGGACTACCAACCCCCCGTCTGCCTTTCCTGCTCCTCCTGCCCCTGCTGCCCCTCCTGCTCCCCCTGCTACCCCTGCTCCCCCTGCTCCCCTTGCTCCTGCTGCTCCTCCGACTCCTCCTCCTGCTGCTGCTCCTCCACCTTCCAACCCAAACCCTAACACCAGCCCCCCTCCAGTCGACCTCCGCCGCACATGCTTCCCCTTCCCGTCCCCTGCCCCCCCTTCCCCATTCCCAGCCGCCCCGCGCCACGAAAAAGGGTGCGCAAACCCCCCAAACGCACCACCACCGTGAGTCGACGGGGCACAATCAGCAACAGTGGTGGAGTCAAAGAAAAAGAAGCGATCAGAGAAGAGCGTAGGCCAGGCACCAGCATCCCGAAGCAGCTGCAGTGCAGACGGCGACTCGCCCAGCACCCTCCTGAGAATAGACAGCACGTGGCACTGGAGAGTACAGGAGGTGTTTCGGAAGTAGTCCTGCAGTGCTAGGTCGTCCATGCTCATCACCTCGCCTGCTCCCCCTCCCGGCCCTGACTTCCCCTCGTGTGGTAACCGGAACGTGTCTAGGAGGGTTTCTACAGCGTATCGCTGCCCCATGCTCCAGTAATCTCCCACTGACTTCCCTCCTCCTCCTCCTCTTGGTGTTCCTGGTTCGTTCCCTGTGCTGTCCCTATCCCCCGCTCCTCCTCCTCCCCCTCCTGCTCCTGCTCCTCCCGTTCCTCCTTCTCCCGTTCCCCCTCCTCCTCCGCCCTCCCCCCCTTCCGGGTCTCCCCTTCCCCTGTCTCCGCCCTCCCCCTCCCCGCCCATCCCTACCCCATTGGCAGCCTCCCTGGCCCACCGTCCGTATTTCCCCCACAGGCTCACACCCCCCCACTCTGCAATTTGCTCCTCTGTTGTATCCCCTTCCAGCAGCAGCGTGCACAGCAGCCCACAAGCTGCTGAGACCGCGAGATTCCACGCCCACACCTCCGAATCCCCCACAGACGGCCGAGAGCGCAGCACCCTCACTTCCCTGATCAGCTCCTGGCCTAGAGCCCGCGCTATCATCCACTTTTGCTCCTCCCCCCACACCATCTCCCCCTCCCCCTCATCCTCCTCCTCCCTATCGAGCCCGTCACCGTCCCCGCCCCAATCCCCCCCGTATCCTCCTCCTCCGCCTCCTCCTCCCCCTCCCCCGCCCCCGCCCCCGCCCCCAGCTCGCCCCCTTTTTCTAGCCAGTCTCAAAGACCCCACCCTTCGGACATCGATCGTGAGAATGGAATCGGAGGTGCAGAGGAAGGAGGAGGCGGGGAGAGGGGGCGGAGGCATGAGGGAGCTTTCCGAGGAGGAGGGGACAGGGGGCGCGGAGAAGGTGCGAGCAGCCCACTGCAGCAGGCGGGAGATGCGGGGGAAGAGCGATAGGGAGTGCAGACGTGCCAGACACGTGGGGGACGCGTAGCTGGTGGGGGGAGGGGGACGTGGGGGGAGGGGGAGGAGCGGGGAGGGGAGAAGGGGGGAGGGGAGAGGAGAGGAGGGGAGGAGGAGAGAAGGGGGAGAAAGATGGGAGTAGTAAGGAAGAGGAAGAGAAGAGTGAGATGGGATGAGGCTGGGGAAGCAAAGCATGGGCGTGGTGTAGAGGATGTGAAAGGAATGGGATCGGGTAGGATAGGTAGAGAGAGAGAGAGAAGGTAGAATCGTCTCTTCTTGACGCACCTGCAAAGCAGGGGCACACAAGTGTGCATCATATAAATGTGCATGTGAGATTGGTAAACTTTCCGAGTGGTGCATGCCCATATCACCAGACACACACGCAAATGTCACCATCACACAGGCATGCCCATATCACCACGCACACACGCTCATGTCACCACGCACACACGCTCATGTCACCACGCACACACGCTCATGTCACCACGCACACACGCTCATGTCACCACGCACACACGCTCATATCACCACGCACACACGCTCATATCACCACGCACACACGCTCATATCACCACGCACACACGCTCATATCACCACGCACACACGCTCATATCACCACGCACACACGCTCATATCACCACGCACACACGCTCATATCACCACGCACACACGCTCATATCACCACGCACACACGCTCATATCACCACGCACACACGCTCATATCACCACGCACACACGCTCATATCACCACGCACACACGCTCATATCACCACGCACACACGCTCATGTCACCACGCACACACGGCCATCTCACGACGCACACACGCGCACATATCGCCACATGCGCACGCCCATGTCACCACAAACACACGCTCATGTCACCACAAACACACGGCCATCTCACCATGCTTCCCGGATCACCACCAGGGTCAGCAGTTGCACCCCCAGGTGCTCCTCCAATGCAAGCTGATCGCCCTCGGGAATACTGCTCCCAGCAGCACCGCACAGTCACGGAAGGGGGAGGGGAGGGAGGGAGGGGGAAAGGGGGGGGAGCGGGAAGGGGAGGGGGGAGGCAGGTGGAGGTAAGCACGAGGACCGTGGAAATACCTTCAAATGCTCCTCTACGAGCTAGTCGCCCTCGGGAATACTGCTCCCAGAAGCACCGCACAGTCACGGAAGGGGGAGGGGAGGGAGGGGGGAGGGGAGGACAGGTGGAGGTAAGAAACGACGACGGTGAAAGCATCCCCAAGTGGTCTTCCCATGCGAGCTGATCGCCCTCGGGAATACTGCTCCCAGCAGCACCGCACAGTCACGGAAGGGGGAAGGGGGTGGAGGTGGGAAAGAGTGGGGAAGGACAGGTAGGGAGAGTGGCAACACAAGCGAGAGGTGGGCTGCGGGCTTGAGAAAGGAGCATGGGAACGGGAGGTGGGACGCGGGTTGTGAGGTGAGCCCCTGCTTTCAGAGATCTCTCACTCACCCCAAGCTCATCCCAAGGCAGGTGAAGGCTCCCCAGCAGTAGCACCTAAACCCCTCGCGGTCTTTCTTGCAAGGAGGTCAGCAGGTACAACAAGCAAGCCTCACTCACCTGGAGGGGAGCGATCTACCCTCAACAGGTACAAGCAACTCTCACCTAGCGAGGGTTGGCCTTTGCCTTTCCCCAGGTGAGCAGTTGCAATGCTCAGTCACCTGGTGGGGATAGGTCTCTCCACAGCAGCCACGAATCTCACCTGAAAGGAGGCAACCTCTCCAGCAGCACCTAGAACCTTCTTACCTGAATAAGAGTCAGCAGCCACGAATCTCACCTTGAGGAAGGCGGCCGTCCTAGCAGCTGCACGAGCAGGGAGAGGCTGCCGCAGTTGCAGAGCGTGCGGTGGGCTGAGCGGCTGAGCGCAGAGGCCAGACGCAGCAGCTGCAGCGAGAGCAGCAGCAGCGGAGACGCTGCCCGGTTGCCCCTGTCCTGCTCCACACGGAAGATGTGCAGCAGCTCTGGGGTATACAGGGGAAGGGGGGTTGCGGCGGAGGAGAAAGGGGGAAGAGAGTGTTTGAGTCGACTCAAACGCCACCTTGTTGTGATGGCACAAGGCATGCTGCTCGGTTGCCCCTGCCCTGCTCCACACGGAATATGGGCAGGAGCTGTGGGGGAATGGTAAGCAGGAGCAAGACTCGAGAGGTATGTATGTACTGCCCGAGAAACAGGTGCACACCGAGAAAGAGGAGGCACGTACTGAGCAATAAGTCTATGCTGTGCAGATCTACCAATTCTCAGAAGTGACTCAAATAAAGCAAGAGGCACGTACCAAGCAAGGAGTCTATGCCATGGAGCTCCACCAACACTTGACTCATCCGCGCACTCCCCTCCTCCACATCCCCACTCCCATCCCCCCCTCCACTGCCCCCACTCCCTCCCCCTCTCCCTCCCGCGCCCCCCATCCCTCCCCCCATCCCCCCCCCAATCCCCCCCCCAATCGCCGCAAACAGATTCGGCGCAAAGAGGTTCGACTGTTCTGCTGAACTAGCTGCTGCCGCCGCCGCCGCTGCTGCTGCTGCCGCCGCTGCTGCTTTTCTCTTGGCAGAGGCCACCACACGAGTGAGCTCTGTGTGGAAAATCCCAACCAGACACGGCAGCAGATGCACCACCACGCTTTGCAGAAACCTCTGCTGCCGCCGCAGCTGCATCAGCAACTCCTGATTACTCGACCCTCCCCCTCCATCCCCTCCTCCCCCGCTGCCGCTCCCCCTGACCCGCGTGTGGCCGGCGTGGCTTGTCTCATGCGGGTCGGAGATCCCTGAGCCGGCTCCCCCCCAGGGGGGGGATTGGCGGGTAGAGGAGGCGGAGGGGGGGTGGATAGGGGAGAGGAGGGGGTCCGAGGCTTCGGGGGAAGGGGGGGAGGAGGTATCGGGGGAGGTGGGGCGGGAGTGGCGTTGCCTGCCTGCTGTTGCCATGCCTTGCACCGACTTAAACTGAGCAACTACGTCTGGACAGGAGAGGTAGTGGGATCAGGGGGAACAGGGGCACAGGAGTCAGTGGTGAGTAAGGTTGGCGGGTGGGAAGAGGGGGAAAGGGGAAGGATGCATGAAGGCGGGAAAGGTGGGGGGGGGGAGAGAGATCTCAGACATTCACACGGGAGAGAGGGCGGATGGGAGAGAGGAAAGAGTGGGAGTGGAGAAAAAGAGTGCGCGAAAAGAGAGTGGGGAAAGAGTGGGGGTGGATGATGGGAGGGACAGTGGAGCGGGTGAGTGCTCGATAGAAGAGCATGGTAACTCCTAATCAAGCACTACTCAAGCACTAATCAAGCACTAATCAAGCACTCATCCACTCCAGGGAGCACACATCAAATCAAATCACGGCAAGTGGCAGCAGCACGCACCTTTAAATAGGATGGTGAGTGCGGCGTATCCATCATAGAAGGCAAAGACGCGGCGGTTGTGTGCGGAGCGCAGAGCGATGGTGAGCGCACACAGCAGGTTGAGCACAAAGGCCCGGTCCGACAGGTCCTCTGACTCCATCTCTGGAGATAGGTGGGGATGGGGCGACGGGCAAAGGAGAAGAGTGAGTGCACGCAGTAAGAGATGGTGATGCACACAGCAGGTTGAGCACAAAGGCCCGGTCTGACAGGTCCTCTGACTCCATCTCTGAGGAAAGGGAGAGGGGGAGAGTAAGTGTGGGGCTTAGGAGCCGACTCATGAGATGGTGAGCGCACACAGCAGTGCACACAACAGGGTTAGCACTAGGCTCGGTCCGTCAGGCCCTCTGACTCTATTTCTGGCATGCAGCTGAGGTAGAGCGACCCGCAGAGGGGGAGAGTGAGTGCACACAATATCAAATGGTGAGTGTGCACAGCAGGTTGAGCATAAAGGCCCGGTCCCTGGCTCTATTTTTGAAAATAGGTGGGAATGGGGGCACACAAAGGTAGTTGACTGGGGACTTTTGAGGCGAACAAAACATCGAGAATGGCGTTTTGTAGGCTGCGCACACGGCAGGGTTGGGCATGAGAGGGAGGACCATAAAATGCATAGTCACACACGCCCGAATCGAAACACCACACACGCCCGAATCAAATCACCACACACACCCGAATCATATCACCACACACGCCCGCCCACACACCCGAATCAAATCACCACACACACCCAAATCAAATCACCGCACACGCTCAAACCATATCATATCACCATACACAGGCGGAACGCACCCAGGATGGCAGGAATGGTGTTCTTGATCTCGAACACCATCTGCTGAATCACAGCCGTCGGATGGCCCTGCCCGCACCCCACAATCGTGCCCCTCGCCCCAGCTCCCCCGTCCCCTCCGCCACTAGAGCGGAACCCCAGGCGCATGCGCCCCCCATCTCCCCCCTTGCCGCTGCCGGCCTTGTCCCTCTGGGGGGGCTCTGGCTTCCAGTCCTCGTATATCCGGATAAACGACTCCAGGAAGATTCCCAGAAACCGGAACGAGTCCTGCTCCCGCGGGAAGGGGGGGGAGAGGAGGCGGGCGAGGGAGGGGGGGGGATGGTGTGGAAAGAGGGAAGAGGGAGAGAGGGAGGAGAGGAGGGATGAGTGGGGGTGTGGGTGTCGTGGAACCGAAAAGGCTTACATGGCCTTGTTTTGAAAGTAGCAGCTCAACACAAGCTGCATTCAAGGAACGGGTGGAAGTGTGTGCAGCGAATAAGCAGCCTAGCCTCCTCCCTCACCTTCTCCCAAACACTATCCCCCCCCAAGTCCCTTCCCCTTTTCCCGTCCTCCGTATATTCTCAACCTTCCCCAATTCTCATCCCTGCCAATTTCCGCTCTCCTCCCCCTCCTCTCCCCTTCGTGCACAACCCCAAGCGCGTGCAATTCCCTGTGCTTGCATGCCCCCCCCCCCCCCCTCTTTTACACTCGCGCCATATCACTTTCGTTCTGAGGCGCCTCCAAATCACGTTCATAATTCTGTTTTTGAGGCGCTTTATAGAAGAACATACCTGCATGCCCGCCGCCTTGTACTCGCGCCATATCACTTGCAGCTCCCGCTCGTCGTTGTCGTCGTCGCTGCGGCGCAATCATGGGCGGAACGATGGGCGGAACGTATGGCGCGACGACAATGTGGCGGGACGATGAGGCGCAACGATGCGGGGCGAACAGTGGGCAATGCGGAAAAGGGAGATGGGGGAAGGCGGAACACAAGGGGAGTCGGATGAGCGGGAAGGTGGCAATCGCGGAATTACACCATTCAGTGAATTCAAAGACAAGGCGCACACCAGCAATAACTAGACCATCCTGAATTCAGAACAAGGGAGGGAGCGAGGGAGCGAGGGAGGGAGGGAGGGGAACGGCAAACAGACGGACGAGCTCGTGTAATAACTAGCCACACGGAAGTATTACGGCACGGAGGGGAGATGACAATGGATGGCTACACGGAGTCTGCTTAATGCACTCACAAACGTCACAAATACCACAGGTACCACAGAAACCACAAGTAGCACAAGTAGCATTCACAATAATAGCACCCGCAAACACCACCACCCAGCAGCGACGTGACATATCAAACGCGCGGCGTGCTTTGCCGTATCACGTTGCCGCGTAAAGCGCAAAGCACGCCACGCGTTTGACATTTCACAGACTCGCAAAGCTACGCCGTGGCACTCCGCGTTTGGTGGTACGGCGGTGACGACACTGGCGGCATGCCGTGCACTGTCAAATGCACGCCGCGCCTGAGGGTTCCAACCCGGCACACCACGCAATCGACTACATCACATGGGCGGCACAAGAAAAATCCCAGCCCAGTCTCCGCAACAGGCCGAGACTATAACGCCGTCGGCAGTACCCTAGATGATTGTTGCGTTGCCTTGAGGGATCCTTCCGGGCTTGACGCGGTAGCCCCTGAACTGTAAGGTCGTCAAGTGAATCTCTCTCCCAATCGCCTCCGCCACATTCCGAACCCGCAAGCACGACATCCTACACTCGAACAAGCCCTTAAGTGAAGCCCTTATCAAGCCCTTACGTGAACCCACCGCACACACACACAAGACAAACACGCTATAAGAAAACATCCCATGAGTGCTTTTTTCTTTCTTTCTTTCCAAGAGCGCCGCTCCTCCCCCCTACCTGAACTGTATCTCCGCCCATCGAGCCACAGGCGCGGGCGGGGTGGCGGAAGCGGGGGACCCGGACGCGGCGGTGGGTGCGGAAGACGAGTTGTCCTGCGCGCTCTCCTGCGGCGCCGCCGCGCCTCCCCCCCAAGAGGTGCGGAACAGATTCATCGTAACAGGAGGGCAACTCCCAGCTTCATGCGGATACGTTCATAACGAATCATGCGGCCTCCAACCGGTAACGCGATCGGAAGAATTGGGTCACCACAGATCAGATAACGGTTCGCGTTTCGTGTGGACCGTCGATTCTCGATTCGTCAGACGGCTAGAGGCCCCACGAGGCGCGGAACTCCCTAGTGAGCGTCGCTAATGTAGCCGGAGATGCGGGTGAAACCCTAAGCAAATGCAGCTGCTTCCATCGACAAGTTGCTCCTACCCTAATCTGTACTGCCGGTTGTTTCTGGTAGTGATCTTCAGAAAGACGCACGCGGTGATAAAATGAGAATCAGCGCGATAGAGCTGGCGATCTGCTATGTCGTTGTGACGATACGTTTGGCCATTGCTGCCAGGCTGGCAAGTTCATGACGTGCTATGCAGGATGTGTCTTAGCGCCGCCGAAGCGATGATGGTAAGAGAAGGCTGTGGATGAAAGAACGAAAATGCTGTTCCTAGGTGTTTCAACCAAGCACGAAAACACTGGGACGAAGTAGTTTTACTCGACACACCGCGGAGACAGGAGTTTTTATTTGAGGCAGATTCTGCTGGGTCGAAAACCTAAGTGCAACTAATGAGGACACTAACTGCGTTAGGCTGCGAGATCAGCTTCCTCTGTTGTGTCATCAGGCTGGGCTCCCATGCCATCCGAAGGTGAAGGGAACATACATTTCAAAAAAAGAGTCCATCACTAATGATGGTGCGCTCAAAGCGGAGCAGCGGGGAGGGGAGATGGGAGCAGAAGATATGCGGGCAGAGGAGGAGCAGGAATGTAAAGTCACATATATTGGTTGGATTTCCGTCTATTCTATAACACTCCACGTTCAGAGTTCTGTAGTTCCTTTTGCTGTCCATACAGCACCAAGTTCTAGCCTTTATGAACTGTATTTTCTCCAGGCTGTCTTTACGCAAAATAACACTTCACACGAAAGTTTTATGGGAAACCCAGCTGTGGTGGGAGAACTGCCGTGGCGGAGATCTCGAGGGTGATGACCTGACGGCGACACTCTCGAGAGACTGGCGGAGGCGGGCGCAGACCAGCGGGGCTCAGGTGGAGCGAAGAACCTGGGGTGACGGAAAACCTTCCGCCTGACCAGGAACCGATGAGGACCACTGCATGTTCACGAACGACAGTCTGGCCCTGTTCGAAAGGCTAACACCGACGGCCGCGGAATCCTCGGAGCTCTTTCGTTTTCACATTTTTTCCCACGGTCAGCCCGTAAGATGGGCAAATGGGGCTTTAGCCCCCGCTAACCTGTTGGCAGAGTGTTAGCCTGTCGAACGCACCCGATAATTGACACCTTCGCCCTCTCAGAAACAACCGCGAGCCTTCCCGCACGGGCAAAGGTTTAGCCCTCGCCTAGCCTAACCCTCGCCCCCCAAAAGTGGGGTTTGCCAAAGGGCTCGTCAAGTGTTTGCAGTGGGAGGGACACCCACTCCGTGGACCCAAACAAAACCCAAGTGAACCAGTTTGCTTGAAAAACATCTCCCATTCGAAAACCTCCCTTACCGATTTGTGGGGATGGCCAATTTGTTTCCGGCGTTGTTACCCAGACCCCTTTGGCAAGTGGCCCAAACGTTTTTACACAGCCAGCGATGACCCAAATTGAAGGGGGCGGGCAGCTTCGCCTTGTGGGCCACGCTCCTTCCGATCTCCAGGGGCGAGGCTTCCGATTGTGGTGGGCGGTCGATCAGCTCAGGGAAGTTGCGCTGAACCCTCCCCTAACTTTAGCCTAACACTCGCCTTTTGCAAAGTGTTAGCCTGTCGAGCAGGGCCTCTATTCCGACGCCAAAACCTTTACGGACGGCACGTTTTCAAGCCATGCTATCGAAACCCGCCCAAACCTTGGTGCAAGTGTGTTTTCTCCTCATGGAAGGGCGTCGTAGGGTGTTGCTTGACTAAAAACGTTCTGCTTGTGGAAGTAAATTCCCACACCCAGTTCGAACTTTCCCTTCGCTACGATCACATGCACTGTGCATCCAGCTGTGTTGTGTGGGCTCATGACGTGGCTCCGCGCACAAGTCGTCAAATCCATCTCTCCCGTCACTTGCTGCGCTGCGGACTTCCCGCACGCAAAGATTTGGGGCCCTGCGATTCGAGCAGCACTTCAGATAGCTCGATATAGATGTCACATCACTCGCTGAGCGCTGTAGGAGCAGATCCATGACAAATGTCAATCAAAACTTATATCAATCTTTCACAAGGTCCTCGTGTCCAAATACCTAACAAAAAACTGCACATTCACAACAATATTGTCCATATCCCACTTACACGTTCTAGTGTCAAAATTGGTGCTCATCGTTATAATGAGCTTGCCCTCGGGGAAAATGGGCGATATATACGAGACACATATCAAACCAGTGGTATCACTTCCGCAATAGCCTGTGATACACCAGCCATGGAGCCATCAAGCGCCGACCAGATTTCAATTGATGTATCGACAAGCGAGCCAGCGCTGAAAGGGAGCAGTTGCGCTACAGCCGTCGAAGCAGGTCCCGAGGCTGTCCCGGCTGCGGCTGCAGCTTCTGCTGCTGCCGTTGCAGTTGCCGCTCCCGACGACACCACAGCAGCCGACACTGCCGCTGCTGTGGCTTCCGCTCCAGCATCTACCACAGCGGCAGAAGCAGAGATATCAGCTGCAGCCCAGCCGAGCACGGCACCACCATCAGCACCAAGTGCCTGCACCAGCGACAACGATTCCAGCGCCAGTACCGAGTCCATGGCTCCTGAAATTTCAGCTGCAACCGCAGCTGTTGCAGCGGCGGCCGACGCGCCCACTTCCAAAACTGCCTCCATTTCTGCTTCCAGTCCTGCAAGCACAACCGAAGACTCCTGGGCCACCCCCTGAAACACCCCCTTTGGGAACTCCTCGACGAGCCTGGGAAGGTTCTCAGCGACAGTCGGAAGCTTCTCAGCAACTTGCGGGATACTTTCAGCAACAACCTCTGGCAGGATCAGCTCTTCCGCCAGTGCAAGCTCTTCAATGGGGACCAGGGCTGGGTCTAGAGCCAACAGCTGTTCAGTAGCCAGAGTAAGGTGCTCCCCCAATGACGCTGATTGCTCTCCTAGCACTTGTTCCCCAAGCATCTGCTCTCCAAATAATTGTTCCCCAAGGATTTGTTCTCCCAGCATCTGCTCCCCCATGGCCTTCTCAGCCATGCCAGCAGCAGCAGCAGCACCCAGCTCCGCCCCTGCCTCCACAGCCTGCATTGCCCCTGCTGCAGCCATGGCCGCTGCACCCGACCCATCCCCTGCTGCTGCCGATGACGACGATGACGATGATGAGGATTGTGCTGATGATGATGGTGATGATGCTGATACAGAACAGCTGATAGAGGGATCTGATGCAGTAGAGGCTGAGGATGCCTGTGCTTTGGCAGCTGCGGAATGTGGTGTGTCTGCTGAGGCAAGGGGTGTGGCTGATGGGGCAGATGAGGAGGAGGTGGTCGAACTGGTGCTGGTGGTGCTGGTGGTAGTAGTAGCTAAAGACGATCCTGTGCTGCTCGGAATAAGACTGGAGGGACTTCCCCCAGCAGGACTGCCAGCAGGAGTGGCAGGAGCAGGAGTGGCTGTAGTGAGGTTGGATCCTGCTACAGAGCTTGGTGATGCTGCAATGGTGGGCGAGAGGGCGGACGTGGACGAGACAACAGAGCCGGTGCTCATGGCTGCAGAAGCGGCCACGCCAGCTGAAGATGCTGAAGGGTCAATCCCTCCTGTTGGCAAACTGCTACTGCTGTTTCCATTGTTGCTGCTGTTACCACTGCTGCTGCTGCTGCTGCTGCCGTTGCTGCTAGCGGCATTGCCGCTGGCGTTGCTGCCGCTGCCGGTGCTGGTGGCGGGCGTTCCGGTGGCTCCCACTGCATTGTTGAGAGCAGGTGATCCAGAAGAGGTGGTGGTGGTGGTGGTGGTGGTGGTGGTGGTAGTAGAGGGAACGGTGGTGCTCGTGGTGACACTGCTACCAGAGGTGGCAGGCGTTGGGGAGGAACTGGCAGTGGACGGGGGAATGGAAGCGGGAGAGGACGAGGAAGTGGGAGTGGTGGCGGAGGAGAGGGAGGAGGCAGACGATGTTGTGAGGTTGGATGCGGTGGGGGTGGGTGCTGTAGGGGTGGGTGCAGCAGGGGTGGGGGATGGGGAGGAGGAAGCTACTGTGGTGGTGGTGGTGGGGATGGTTGAAGCAGAAGCGAGGGGAAGTGCCATAGCCGCATTGCTGCTGCTGTTGCTGCTGCTGCCACTGCTATCACTGCTGCTATTGACACCGCTTTTACCACTACTGTCAGCAGTGTCACCACTGCCATTCTTACTGTTGCTGCCGCTGCTGCTGCTGCTGCTGCTGCTGCTGCCAGCAGTGGAGGCAGGAGGAGAGGCGGAGAGTGGCTGGGTTGATTGCAGAGACCAAGTCGTGGGGATGGCAGGGCCGGCGGATGAGCATGGAGCAGAGACGCAGGGAGCAGAGGGGGCGGCAGCGGAGGGGGCAGAGGAGGGAGAGGAGAGGACAGGAGAGGATAAGGAACCGGTGGGGTTGAGGGGAGAGGGGGAGGAGAGGAAGAAGAGGGGAGGGGAGGAGGAGTTCTGAGCGGAGGTATACACTAGAGGAGTGGTCGTGTGGATGGTGGTGGTGCTGATGGTGTTGGTAGCGCTGCTGGTGCTGGTGGCATAGGTTGAGGCTCCGAGAAGGGGGGAGAGAGAGGGGATGGACAAGGAGGAGAGCGAGAAGGACGGGGAAGGAAGCGAGGGAGGCAGCAGTGACGGCAGGTGCACGGAGGGGAGAGTCGGGAGAGAAGGGAAGGACGGTGGGAGGGAGAAGGTCGGAGTGGGGAGCGGAGGGAGGGAGAGCGAGGGGAGGGAGAGCGAGGGGAGGGAGATGACGAGCGTCTTGTGAACACCCAGGCCCAGGTTGACTTGAAGCTCCACCAGCACTCGCTTCGCCTGCACGGCATAGCATGGGTACTTGAGCTGCGAGGTCACCAGCGCAACAGATATCTGCTCCCTCATCTGCCCGCTGCTGCCGCTGCTGCTGTTCTCTCCTCCGTTTCCCACTTCCTCCCCAGGCTCACTCCCGCCCACGTTCCGTCCTTTTTCCTCCCCCATCTTCCCCATCTCAACCTCTCCAACCTTTCCCATCTTCCGAGGCCCTGCTTCCGCCCCTTCTCCCGTTTCCGCCCTCTCCGCGCTTTCCGCCCATTCCATTCTCTCCGCCTGCTGCGCGGCTTCCGCGTCGCCCAGCACCCGCCATCGAATGCGCCCGTTCGCCAATGCACCGGCTCGCCGCTGCCCCGCGCCCGCTGCGAGTCCTGCCTGTGCAACTACTGCCTGTGCGACTGCTGCCTGTGCGACTGCTGCCTGTGCGACCACAGCCTCTGCACCTCCTGCCTGTGCCACCGCTTCCTGCGAAAGTCCCTCCCTCCTCCGCCTCTCCTCGTCCCTCTCCCGTTCCTTCTCCCTCTCCCCTTCCACCAGCAGCCAATGCGCAAGCGCGCTCACCCCCACAATCATCACTCCCCCCGTTGCCACTGAAACCCCAGGCGCCTCGCCTCTCACCGCAAACGATAACAGAGCGCCCCAAACGGGTATAGAAGTGTACACCAGCATAGCGATAGACGCCGGAACGCGCCTTAATCCGCATAGTTCCAACCACACGCACAGCCCCGAGCCTACCGCGCCTCCGTACACCAGCGGAAGCCACGGGATGGCTTTAATCTCCTCCGCGAGCCGCAATACGCCGTCGAGACCGCCGCCTGCCACGTGTAGGGCTTCCCAGCCGAGCCCGAGCAGCGCGAGCGACCCGGCCTGCACGGCGGAGAGGCGCAGCGGGTCGAAGCGCGTGGTGAGCGCTTCGGAGCGGAAGATCTGCACGGCGGCGAGGAGCGACCCGAGGATCGAGCTCAGGTCGAAGCTTCGCGGAGGGGAGAGCGCGCCAGAGTCGGCTCCGCCGCCGGGGAGGAGGAGGAGAAGAGAGTGCGCGTGGTGGTACTCTCCCAGTAGGCCCATGCCGAGTAATGCGGCGACGACGGCGAGGAGCGTGGAGCGGTGGAGCGCGCGACCAGAGGAGAGCTCCATCAGCGGGAGAAAACAGATCTGCGCGCGCGGGGAAAAGGGAGGATGGGGAGGGGAAGCAAAAGGGGAAGGGAGGGGGCGGAAACGCGATGGGCAGAATATCAGGTGGAGAGCTTCGAGGCGAGACGGCCGAGAGGCAGGAACTGCCGGAGAGGTTCGAGGCAGACTGTCATGCCCGAGAGAGAACTGCAGGGAATGACTTACGGAGAAGGCGTAGAGCAGAGCGGCGGTGGTGCCGTTGGTGTTGCTGGCGTGTTGCAGCAGCAGCGTACCCAAGAAACTCCATCCCGCCAGCTCCATGCCCCCTAGTATCACCCCCTCCTCCCGCCACCAATCGCCTTCCCACCTGTTGCTCGTCCCCTCTAGCGAACCCTCCTCCTCGCGCCCTTCCTTCCCGCGCACCCTCCTCTCGTCTGCCGCTGCTCCGCCTGCAGCAGGGTTCCCCGCTCCAGCTCCGCCGTTACGCGGAACCCCCGCCGTTTCCCTGCAGTCAGTGCGCGGGGGTTTCCGCGCGGTCCTCTCCGACAGGATGGCGAAGATGACAGGGGAGAAGACGACTGCCGCCGCGGTGAACCTGACGGCGGCCGTCAAAGATGACGGCAGCGACACCGGCTGGTCGTCAACGAGCTTGGCGGCAACGGTGCTCGTTCCATAAAGCGCCGCGAGCACGTTCAGCAGGAAAACCCCAGCCGCCGCACTTCCCGCCGCAGCTGCCGCCGTGCCCCCCCATTCCCCCAACAGCTTCCGCCACCAGCCCCGCCATTGCGCCATCTCCCCGCGCCATTCCCCCAAACGCCCCCGCCACACCCCTGCCCGGCGTCCCTGGACTGCCGCGGGGGTTGAATCAGACGCGCCGAATCGCGACCAATCCCAATGCTGATAGTCCAACGAGTCATCCCATCTGCCAGTACTTCCGACAGTTGGAGCGCTCACGGCATTCGCGCCGCCGCGTATCCCGAGTTTCACGCCGACCAGCAACGGCCACCACCATAGCGAACCGATCGCAAGGGCGGCTCGGCGGTGCCCTGCTGAATCGTGAGAGGCGGCAGCGGCGAAGCCGGCGGCAGCAGACGGGGAAACGACCGGCCTGGCGCCGTCAAACCCGATCAAACCAGCCAGCGCATTGAAACCGTTCAAAGAGGCGGTGGTCGAATCGGAATCGTCGGTCCAAGCATTCCAGCCGTCGGATGTGTCGGCGACGACGGCTTTCCAGATCAGCGCTTCGACGGCCGTGCTGCTGCTAGGCGACCACCCGCCGCGATCCCCGCCGCTCCCTCCTGCTCTACCCTCTAAAGGCATACCCCACTGGCAGTCGCCGTTACTGCTGATAGTAGCCGCGTCGCCGCTGAGCACTGTACCATGCTTGACAACGTTGCTGATTCTGCGCGAGGTCCGCTTGCCCCTTGCCGCGGGGCCTCCCCCTCCTCCTCCGCCTCCCCCTCCTCTCCCTCCCCCTCCGCCTCCCCCCGCACCTCCTGCGCCAACGGCGGCAGGCACGAAGCTTTTTTCTTCGTGCGCGGGAGCAGAAGGAGATGCTGTAGGAGCTGCGACTTGGCTGCGGCGTGAGACTCCGATTCTCCGGGATCTACGGCTGGGAGGCTCCGGGGCTTGAGATCCGACGGCAGGGAAGGCACGACGGCGTGTGGAGCGGCGCGGGGTGCGCGTGAAGGAAGTGGTTCCGGGAGATTGAGAGCCTCTACGAAACGGAGACGAAGACCCAGGCGCTGACGTTGACGCTGACGTTGACGCTAACGAAGACGCTAAAGATGACGCTGACGCTGCAACCGGCGACACCGACATAATGTGGCTGAGCTTCCTTCCATTATCGCCATCCAGCAGAGAGCGGTCGCGGTTGGAATCAAGTCCAAAAACATTTAGACCACCGTAACGCTGTTGGCGGAAAAGTGGAAATTGTCTCAGATTCGGTGATTCAACAAGCTGCCGCTGCGTCAGCAAATACCGAGAGTGTCTTAGCTCGTCAGTCGAGCCGAATCCGCGGTTCCTTCTGGGGATTAGTTTTGTGACAAGCGCTACTGACGAGAGGCGATGCCGGGAAGGCTGAAGGGGACCTGTACGGACTGTGCTGAGAGGTTGTTGGTGGAGCAGTAGCGGTGACGAGGTTTGGAGAGCGGTGACTGCTGGCATCTGGCGCGTGGCGTGCATTATCGCGGTGATAGCAGGGTGTATGACAGGAGGCTTGGTTGGCGCGTGTTGACGTGCTTATGACATCAAAATCTCATAAAAAACAAGCTGGCTCGTTTCTCGATTAATTTTTACAACCAGTGGCTGCTTTGATGTGTGCTTTTCTTACAGCGGCTACGACAGAGCGTTCTGCTTAATTCAACTTTCATAGAGAAATCCGGCACTGGAGAACGAAACAAGAGGCTGGTTGACGAGGGTCGGGAGTCTAAGATTGGGGAGTCGAGGCTAAGAGACAGTTGAGGGCGTTGACTGAGATGAAATGAATCAAATAGATGTCTAAGAATCGGACGATTAATAGGTACTACTTCGAGAGGACCCCTACCCGTTAACCGCTGACCCAGGTGACGGCTGAGGCGAGACACTGATGCACGCATTTTGGGTTTTCATGTGTTGCACAAGCTAGTTAAGGACGTGACATATCTATGGCAGACGGAACTAAGCAAGTCCAGTCCAGTGTCTGTGTTTTCAGAACTAACAAGTGCTTGCTCGCGATACGCAACCCGAACGGCTGAGGCGGCGGAACGGCGAGACACGAACTCTCAGCTTGAACAGATCAAGGTACAACCCTTGAAAGCCTAACCCTTGAACAGTGCGAACGTCAAAGCTACTTCATCAGCTAGCTGCTAGCAGATTACTTGCTGCCTGTTGACTGCATCCATGGGAGTGACGCGGGTGAATGGGTCCGTCCATCGCCTTGAGATTGTCGAAAAGCAAGCAGCTGCAGGAAGACGACCAACTTCAAATCGGAAATCCTTCCAACATCCAAATTTCGCTGCAGTGGCAGGTCGGATGGAATGGAATGGGATTTCGCGCAGCCGAGATTCACACAACGAATCCAACCGCAGACCTGACGTCAGCCTCTGATCGCCTCGCCTTCCAATCAAGATCGAGGAACTCGCCGCCGAAAGTGGTACAGTACAGCACACGCGCCCGTGAGTTTGTCAGAAATTTGGGCTCCTCGGGCTAACAGAAAAAAGTATCAGGGCTCCTTGGGCACGCTCATGCGGCTGCGCTTTCTTGCGATGGGTTCAGGAATCAGGAATCTACGGTGGATGTTACTCGGCCAGACCGAATGGAGCGTCGTCAAGGTCGAGAATGTCAGGTGTGGTCCACAAGAAGAAGGACCTGTGGCCACGTGGTCGGAACTCAACATTACACCACCCTCCCCCCTATGTCGAGTGGAGTTTTCACACCTCAGATGACATGGCTGGCGGTGACACCACTCAGCTGACGGCATGGCTCCACGGCTCTACAGTTAGGCGCCGCTTCCACCGTTTGGAGGCGCCATGCTGAGAGAACCACGTGGTCAGAAATCCACATTTTTCTTGCTCACCAATCACCTCCTTCAAGATGAGAACTCGCCGCGAATCCCGCAAACTCTAAATCAAGGACCCGGTGTGCGCAATCACAGCCTTAGTTTCCGGTTGAATTCAGCACTCACCCTTTGAGAAGGAGCCACTACTTCACATAGGCAAGGCAATAAAAAAATGAAGGAGTAGCCGATACAAATATTGCGGTTATATATTAGGGAAAGTATGCCAATGGTAACATACATGGGGCTCTTTAACGCGCACAGTAACTATTACAGTACATTTTCACGCGTTTGGTAACTCGTTTCACGCAATTGGTAACTTAGCAGAGGCGAATGATCACGCGAATGGTAACTAGATGAAACTCCCGCCGAAATGATCCTGACTAAGAGGAATTTGTTAAATTGAAAGATTTCACGGACCGTTTTATCGATATTGAACGATTCCCGCCGTGACTTTGAAGGATTGCGTTTGTTCAATTACCACGGACCAAATAGTTTCAGAGTAGTTTCATATATATTTTAAGCTCGGAAATATAGTACTAACAAGTACAATTATATTTTTGCAAGCATGATTGCATAATTGCAAAATGGGGAAATTTTCCCGGAAAGGCGACAATCAATTTATTTAAAAAATGTGTAATTAATGCAACGTGGGATAATTTTGGAGGTGGGAAAATAATACCCTTCCGAATGGCATGCCTTTATTGTAGAAATAACCTTGAACGCCTTGTCGCAAGGAGTTTATGGTTGATGCTCTCAAAATCACTTGCCATCCGAAAGGGGTATATATTTTTTGCCCCGGTTGTACGATAGAACTAAATAAAATCAATTTTCCGCGAGCGCCAGAATATCCACATTGTATTATAAACGGTTTTCAAAACAACAACTTGTTTGCGAAATAGTCCGAAGAATTTCGGAAAGTGTGTCAGAATTTCGTGCTTCAGGACTCGTCAATTCAGTCTGGCGCGAGCGGGAAAAACCAGAATCAGGGTCAAGTTTGACGAGGGTTTCTTCTAGTTACCATTCGCGTGATGGCTTGCCAGTGTATAGTTACCAAATGCGTGAATCGAGTTACCAAACGCGTGAAAATTGGTTACCGTACGTGTTATAGAGCCCCATGTATGTTACCATTCGCATATTTTCCCTATATATTATCTTCAACTACAAATGCAATTGGTAAAGGAACAAGGATTGCACAATCAAGGAAATTGAACAATATGCGTGAGGGCATGATCGAATGATGCATAGTGAAACAAGAGGTACCAGTAACATGCGAAAATGTGGGGTGGTCTACCAGCCCAGCGCCATGGTTGTGAAATGCCTGAGGCGTAGGGCCGGACCGCAGGTTACCAGCCGCGGAGTGTGGCCCGTGAGCGACGGTGTGAACATTGGTCAACGCGAATATCGCAACATGGTAACAGGATGGAAATGATCGTGGGCTGCATGTACAGTGTTGTACGCGATAGTGTTACACTAGCTTCGAGCAATCTCTCCATAGGTTGCCGAACTTGTTGCAATTATATAATGGCCCGAGGGCTTAGTGAGGCGCATCCACGCCATTGATCGCAAGCTCTTGAGTCGATCCACGGTAACAATTCCCCTCACGAAAATCCGCTCTCGCCCACTGCTTCAGCGCGTCTGTCGATTCCGCGAGGTGTACAGCATCGCTGAAGCTTCAGGGTCGGATCTATCACACATCGTATTTTATCTCGTACTTGAGGCCGCTGACTACTTGTCCAACTGCTCGGCCTCGCCCATGTCGTCCACATCGCCAGCTAACGCGCATACGACGCTGTATATTCTCGAACAGAAACAAGCTGCTTCTAGTTGCGCACCTTCATGCGTGCATGACCTAAAACATATATATACTCAAATCTTGTTCGCGGGGCGGCGCTCTCCTCTTGTCACGCGCGGATCGTGAACACTCTGCACATTGCAGATGCTCGTTGCGTGACAAGTGTCGAAGCCTTGTCGTTCGCTGTGTTGTCCCTGGTGAAGTTCCCTCAAATATAGAGTTCGGCGACATCACTCCAATTCTGCACTGCGCATTATTGATGTTGCAAAGTTAAGGATGGCAATAACGTTAATAACATTAGAAGCTTTAGCGGACAGTTCGGCGCCACCATCTCGAAAAGGGGACGTTCTCACTAGGTTTGAAAGGGGGCGGATTTGTCGGCTTGATCTTGTCAGTGGTCGCCACTATTGCGCCTTTGCCTGCATCACTTCACCTGCATCGATGTCACGTCGTAGCTTACTCGACACGGTTTCACTAGCCGTAGTGCTGACACTTCTTTCGTTTATGAAAGGCGACTCTCAGCGCGCTTTACCTCGCGCCTGGAGTAGCTTGCGTTTTCTCCACATAACTGCTCGACCTCCATCGTCAGCGCCCATGTGCTCGTTTGCATTGCGTGAAATTGTTGCATCAGGTTGCTCAACTCTGCTTATTCCATGTTTCCAGGTTTTGTTGAACGGGCAGGGGGTCCACAACAAGTGTATAACCTTGATGAAGACGCGAACGCTATCGAAGACGGCGTGGATTGGTCGTATCTAATTTGTTACAATACCAGAAAGGACTTGGTCAGGATCTTGTCGAGGTTGATCACATGTAGTGCACAGCGGAAGTGTTGATCCGTAAAACATATTAGAATGAATATAAAATGACAAAATTGGTTACAACATCACAACTGCTTGAGAAGAAACGAGGAATGGAATAACTAAGGGAAAGTTGGGTACAAATGCAAACCCTAGAAAACTGTACCCCATATGTGCTACCCCACTATAGCCT